TCTTGTAACCCCTGTCACCCCTTGTAACCCCTTGTAACCCCCTGTATTCCCATGTCATAGATCGTTCAAATAAATAGTGAAAAACGATTTTTTACGTTTTATATAGCAAACAAGCCTTTCTGAACAACGAAAACATCGGTTTCAAAAAGCCACAAAATTGACATTTTTCCAAAGGGGTTAGTCCATGGTTTTGGTCAAAAATTGGAAATTTTGTTAACGTTTCGTTTTATGCAAAAGACACCGAGAAAAAGTATTTGGTGACGTTCTCGTTAGAAAACAAGCCTTTCTAGACAATATAAACATGGATTTAAAAAGAAGGCAAAATTGGCATTTTTGCAAAGGGCATGGTCCATGATTTTGGTCAAAAAGTTGAAGTTTTTTCATCTTTTGTGTTTATCAAAAATAGATCGAGAAAAACTCTTTGCTGACGTTCTAGATAAAAAAGAAGCCTTTAAAGACTATAAAAACAACTGTTTGTGAAAAACGCAAAATTAGAATTTTTCCAAAGGGGTTAGTCCATCGTTTAGGTCAAAAATTTGAGATTTCTTCAACTTTGACTTTTTATGCAAAATAGACCAAGAAAAAGTATCTGGGAACGTTCTAGTTAGAAAAAGGTTTCTATAATCCTTTGTAACCCCCTGTAACCCCTTGTCACCCCCTGTCACCCCTTGTAACCCCCTGTAACCTCTTGTAACCCGTTGTAACCCCCTGTCACCCCTTGTAACCCCTTGTAACCCCCTGTAACCACTTGTAACCCCCTGTATTCCCATGTCATAGATCGTGAAAATAAATAGTGAAAAACGATTTTTGACCTTTTATATAGCAAAAAAGCCTTTCTGAACAACGAAAACATCGGTTTCAAAAAGCCACAAAATTGACATTTTTCCAAAGGGGTTAGTCCATGGTTTTGGTCAAAAATTTGAAATTTTGTTAACGTTTCGTTTTATGCAAAAATACAGCGAGAAAAAGTATTTGGTGACGTTCTCGTTAGAAAACAAGCCTTTCTAGACAATATAAACATGGATTTAAAAAGAAGGCAAAATTGGCATTTTTGCAAAGGGGATAGTTTATGATTTTGGTCAAAAAGTTGAAGTTTTTCATCTTTTGTGTTTATCAAAAATAGATCGAGAAAAACTCTTTGCTGACGTTCTAGATGAAAAAGAAGGCTTTAAAGACTATAAAAACAACTGTTTATGAAAAACGCAAAATCAGAATTTTTCCAAAGGGGTTAGTCCATCGTTTAGGTGAAAAATTTGAGATTTCTTCAAGTTTGATTTTTTATGCAAGATAGACCAAGAAAAAGTATCTGGGAACGTTTTAGTTAGAAAAAAGTTTGTATAATCCTTTGTAACCCCCTGTGACCCCTTGTCACCCCCTGTCACCCCTGTCACCCCTTGTAACCCCTGTCACCCCTTGTAACCCCTTGTAACCCCTGTAACCGCTTGTAACCCCCTGTATTCCTGTCTCATAGATCGTGAAAATAAATAGTGAAAAACGATTTTCGACCTTTTATATAGCAAAAAAGCCTTTCTGAACAACGAAAACATCGGTTTCAAAAAGCCACAAAATTGACATTTTTCCATAGGGGTTAGTCCATGGTTTTGGTCAAAAATTGGAAATTTTGTTAACGTTTCGTTTTATGCAAAAATACACCGAGAAAAAGTATTTGGTGACGTTCTCGTTAGAAAACAAGCCTTTCTAGAGAATATAAACATGGATTTAAAAAGAAGGCAAAATTGGCATTTTTGCAAAGGGGATAGTCCATGATTTTGGTCAAAAAGTTGAAGTTTTTTCATCTTTTGTGTTTATCAAAAATAGATCGAGAAAAACTCTTTGCTGACGTTCTAGATAAAAAAGAAGCCTTTAAAGACTATAAAAACAACTGTTTGTGAAAAACGCAAAATTAGAATTTTTCCAAAGGGGTTAGTCCATCGTTTAGGTCAAAAATTTGAGATTTCTTCAACTTTGACTTTTTATGCAAAATAGACCAAGAAAAAGTATCTGGAAACGTTCTAGTTAGAAAAAGGTTTCTATAATCCTTTGTAACCCCCTGTAACCCCTTGTCACCCCCTGTCACCCCTTGTAACCCCCTGTAACCTCTTGTAACCCGTTGTAACCCCCTGTCACCCCTTGTAACCCCCTGTAACCGCTTGTAACCCCCTGTATTCCCATGTCATAGATCGTGAAAATAAATAGTGAAAAACGATTTTTGACCTTTTATATAGCAAAAAAGCCTTTCTGAACAACGAAAACATCGGTTTCAAAAAGCCACAAAATTGACATTTTTCCAAAGGGGTTAGTCCATGGTTTTGGTCAAAATTTGAAATTTTGTTAACGTTTCGCTTTATGCAAAAATACAGCGAAAAAAGTATTTGGTGACGTTCTCGTTAGAAAACAACCCTTTCTAGACAATATAAACATGGATTTAAAAAGAAGGCAAAATTGGCATTTTTGCAAAGGGGATAGTTTATGATTTTGGTCAAAAAGTTGAAGTTTTTCATCTTTTGTGTTTATCAAAAATAGATCGAGAAAAACTCTTTGCTGACGTTCTAGATGAAAAAAAAAAAAGGCTTTAAAGACTATAAAAACAACTGTTTATGAAAAACGCAAAATCAGAATTTTTCCAAAGGGGTTAGTCCATCGTTTAGGTGAAAAATTTGAGATTTCTTCAAGTTTGATTTTTTATGCAAGATAGACCAAGAAAAAGTATCTGGGAACGTTTTAGTTAGAAAAAGTTTGTATAATCCTTTGTAACCCCCTGTGACCCCTTGTCACCCCTGTCACCCCTGTCACCCCTTGTAACCCCTGTCACCCCTTGTAACCCCTTGTAACCCCTGTAACCGCTTGTAACCCCTGTATTCCTGTCTCATAGATCGTGAAAATAAATAGTGAAAAACGATTTTCGACCTTTTTATATAGCAAAAAGCCTTTCTGAACAACGAAAACATCGGTTTCAAAAAGCCACAAAATTGACATTTTTCCAAGGTTTTGGTCAAAAATTGGAAATTTTGTTAACGTTTCGTTTTATGCAAAAATACAGCGAGAAAAAGTATTTGGTGACGTTCTCGTTAGAAAACAAGCCTTTCTAGACAATATAAACATGGATTTAAAAAGAAGGCAAAATTGGCATTTTTGCAAAGGGGATAGTCCATGATTTTGGTCAAAAAGTTGAAGTTTTTTCATCTTTTGTGTTTATCAAAAATAGATCGAGAAAAAGTGTTTGCTGACGTTCTAGATAAAAAAGAAGCCTTTAAAGAATATAAAAACAACTGTTTATGAAAAACGCAAAATTAGAATTTTTCCAAAGGGGTTAGTCCATCGTTTTGGTCAAAAATTTGAGATTTCTTCAACTTTGACTTTTTATGCAAAATAGACCAAGAAAAAGTATCTGGAAACGTTCTAGTTAGAAAAAGGTTTCTATAATCCTTTGTAACCCCCTGTAACCCCTTGTCACCCCCTGTCACCCCTTGTAACCCCCTGTAACCTCTTGTAACCCGTTGTAACCCCCTGTCACCCCTTGTAACCCCCTGTAACCGCTTGTAACCCCCTGTATTCCCATGTCATAGATCGTGAAAATAAATAGTGAAAAACGATTTTTGACCTTTTATATAGCAAAAAAGCCTTTCTGAACAACGAAAACATCGGTTTCAAAAAGCCACAAAATTGACATTTTTCCAAAGGGGTTAGTCCATGGTTTTGGTCAAAAATTTGAAATTTTGTTAACGTTTCGTTTTATGCAAAAATACAGCGCGAAAAAGTATTTGGTGACGTTCTCGTTAGAAAACAACCCTTTCTAGACAATATAAACATGGATTTAAAAAGAAGGCAAAATTGGCATTTTTGCAAAGGGGATAGTTTATGATTTTGGTCAAAAAGTTGAAGTTTTTCATCTTTTGTGTTTATCAAAAATAGATCGAGAAAAACTCTTTGCTGACGTTCTAGATGAAAAAGAAGGCTTTAAAGACTATAAAAACAACTGTTTATGAAAAACGCAAAATTAGAAATTTTCCAAAGGGGTTAGTCCATCGTTTAGGTGAAAAATTTGAGATTTCTTCAAGTTTGATTTTTTATGCAAGATAGACCAAGAAAAAGTATCTGGGAACGTTTTAGTTAGAAAAAAGTTTGTATAATCCTTTGTAACCCCCTGTGACCCCTTGTCACCCCCTGTCACCCCCTGTCACCCCTTGTAACCCCCTGTCACCCCTTGTAACCCCTTGTAACCCCCTGTAACCGCTTGTAACCCCCTGTATTCCTGTCTCATAGATCGTGAAAATAAATAGTGAAAAACGATTTTCGACCTTTTATATAGCAAAAAAGCCTTTCTGAACAACGAAAACATCGGTTTCAAAAAGCCACAAAATTGACATTTTTCCAAAGGGGTTAGTCCATGGTTTTGGTCAAAAATTGGAAATTTTGTTAACGTTTCGTTTTATGCAAAAATACACCGAGAAAAAGTATTTGGTGACGTTCTCATTAGAAAACAAGCCTTTCTAGACAATATAAACATGGATTTAAAAAGAAGGCAAAATTGGCATTTTTGCAAAGGGGATAGTCCATGATTTTGGTCAAAAAGTTGAAGTTTTTTCATCTTTTGTGTTTATTAAAAATAGATAAAAAAAAAGTGTTTGCTGACGTTCTAGATAAAAAAGAAGGCTTTAAAGACTATAAAAACAACTGTTTATGAAAAACGGAAAATTAGAATTTTTCCAAAGGGGTTAGTCCATCGTTTTGGTCAAAAATTTGAGATTTCTTCAACTTTGATTTTTTATACAAAATACAGCAAGAAAAAGTATCTGGGAACGTTCTAGTTAGAAAAAAGTTTCTATAATCCTTTGTAACCCCCTGTAACCCCTTGTCACCCCCTGTCACCCCTTGTAACCCCCTGTAACCCCTTGTAACCCGTTGTAACCCCCTGTCACCCCTTGTAACCCCCTGTAAGCGCTTGTAACCCCCTGTATTCCCATGTCATAGATCGTGAAAATAAATAGTGAAAAACGATTTTTGACCTTTTATATAGCAAACAAGCCTTTGTGAACAACTAAAACATTGGCTTCAAAAACCCACAAAATTGACATTTTTCCAAAGGGGTTAGTCCATGGTTTTGGTCAAAAATTGGAAATTTTGTTAACGTTTCGTTTTATGCAAAATACACCGAGAGAAAGTATTTGGTGACGTTCTCGTTAGAAAACAAGCCTTTCTAGACAATATAAACATGGATTTAAAAAGAAGGCAAAATTGGCATTTTCGCAAAGGCGATAGTCCATGATTTTGGTGAAAAAGTTGAAGTTTTTTCATCTTTTGTGTTTTTCAAAAATAGATCGAGATAAAGTCTTTGCTGACGTTCTAGATAAAAAAGAAGCCTTTAAAGACTATAAAAACAACTGTTTATGAAAAACGCAAAATTAGAATTTTTCCAAAGGGGTTAGTCCATCGTTTAGGTCAAAAATTTGAGATTTCTTCAACTTTGATTTTTTATGCAAAATAGACCAAGAAATAGTATCTGGGAACGTTCTAGTTAGAAAAAAGTTTCTATAATCCTTTGTAATCCACTGTAACCCCCTGTCACCCCTTGTAACCCCTTGTAACCCCTGTAACCGCTTGTAACCCCTGTATTCCCATGTGATAGATGGTGAAAATAAATAGTGAAAATGGATTTTTAACCTTTTATATAGCAAAAAAGCCTTTCTTAACAACGAAAACATCAGTTTCAAAAACCCACAAAATTGACATTTTTCCAAAGGGGTGAGTCCATGGTTTTGGTTAAAAATTTGAAATTTTGTTAACGTTTCGTTTTATGCAAAAATACACCGAGAAAAAGAATTTCGTGACGTTCTCGTTAAAAAACAAGCCTTTCTAGACAGTATAAACATGGATTTAGAAAGAAGGAAAAATTGGCATTTTTGCAAAGGCGATAGTCCATAATTTTGGTCAAAAAGTTGAAGTTTTTTCATCTTTTGTGTTTTTCAAAAATAGATCGAGAAAAAGTGTTTGCTGACGTTCTAGATAAAAAGGAAGCCTTTAAAGACTGTAAAAACAACTGTTTATGAAAAACGCAAAATTAAAATTTTTCCAAAGGGGTTAGTCCATCGTTTTGGTCAAAAAATTTGACATTTCTTCAACTTTGATTTTTTATACAAAATAGACCAAGAAAAAGTATCTGGGAACGTTCTAGTTAGAAAAAAGTTTCTATAATCCTTTGTAACCCCCGGTAACCCACTGTCACCCCTTCTAACCCCCTGTAACCCCTTGTAACCCCCTGTCACCCCCTGTAACCCCTTGTCACCCCTTGTAACCCCCTGTCACCCCTTGTAACCCTTTGTAACCCCCTGTAACCCCCTGTATTCCCATGTCATAGATCGTGAAAATAAATAGTGAAAAACGATTTTTGACGTTTTATATAGCAAACAAGCCTTTGTGAACAACGAAAACATCGGTTTAAAAAAGCCACAAAATTGACATTTTTCCAAAGGGGTTAGTCCATGGTTTTGGTCAAAAATTTGAAATTTTGTTAACGTTTTGTTTTATGCAAAAATACACCGAGAAAAAGTATTTGGTGACGTTCTCGTTAGAAAACAAGCTTTTCTAGACAATATAAACATGGATTTAAAAAGAAGGCAAAATTAGCATTTTTGCAAAGGGGATAGTCCATGATTTTGGTCAAAAAGTTGAAGTTTTTTCATGTTTTGTGTTTATCAAAAATAGATCGAAAAAAAGTGTTTTTTGACGTTCTAGATAAAAAAGAAGCCTTTAAAGACTATAAAAACAACTGTTTATAAAAAACAAAATAAGAATTTTTCCAAAGGGGTTAGTCCATCGTTTTGGTCAAAAATTTGAGATTTCTTCAAGTTTGATTTTTTATACAAAATAGAGCAAGAAAAAGTATCTGGGAACGTTCTAGTTAGAAAAAAGTTTCTATAATCCTTTGTAACCCCCTGTAACCCCTTGTCACCCCCTGTCACCCCTTGTAACCCCCTGTAACCCCTTGTAACCCTTTGTAACCTCTTGTAACCCCTTGTAACCCCTTGTCACCCCCTCTCACCCCTTGTAACCCCCTGTAACCCCTTGTAACCCCTTGTAACCCCCTGTAACCCCTTCTAACCCCCTGTATTCCCATGTCATAGATCGTGAAAATAAATAGTGAAAAACGATTTTTGATCTTTTATATAGCAAACAAGCCTTTCTGAACAACGAAAACATCGGTTTCAAAAACCCACAAAATTGACATTTTTCCAAAGGGGTTAGTCCATGGTTTTGGTCAAAAATTGGAAATTTTGTTAACGTTTCGTTTTATGCAAAAATACACCGAGAAAAAGTATTTGCTGACGTTCTCGTTAGAAAACAAGCCTTTCTAGACAATATAAACATGGATTTTAAAAGAAGGCAAAATTGGCATTTTTGCAAAGAGGATAGTCAATGATTTTGGTCAAAAAGTTGAAGTTTTTTCATCTTTTGTGTTTATCAAAAATAGATCGAAAAAAAGTGTTTGCTGACGTTCTAGATAAAAAAGAAGCCTTTAAAGACTATAAAAACAATTGTTTATGAAAAACGCAAAGTTAGAGTTTTTCCAAAGGGGTTAGTCCATCGTTTTGGTCAAAAATTTGAGATTTCTTCAACTTTGATTTTTTATACAAAATAGACCAGGAAAAAGTATCTGCGAACGTTGTAGTTAGAAAAAAGTTTCTATAATCCTTTGTAACCCCCTGTCACCCCTTGTCACCCCCTGTAACCCTTTGTAACCCCCTGTCACCCCCTGTAACCCCTTGTAACCCCTTGTAACCCCCTGTCACCCCTTGTAACCCCCTCTAACCCCTTGTAATCTCTTGTAACCCCTGTCACCCCTTGTAACCCCTTGTAACCCCCTGTATTCCCATGTCATAGATCGTGAAAATAAATAGTGAAAAACGATTTCTGACCTTTTATATAGCAAAAAAGGCTCTCTGAACAACGAAAACATCGGTTTCAAAAAGCCACAAAATTGACATTTTTCCAAAGGGGTTAGTCCATGGTTTTGGTCAAAAATTTGAAATTTTGTTAACGTTTCGTTTTATGCAAAAATACACCGAGAAAAAGTATTTGGTGACGTTCTCGTTAGAAAACAAGCCTTTCTAGAGAATATAAACATGGATTTAAAAAGAAGGCAAAATTGGCATTTTCGCAAAGGGGATAGTCCATGATTTTGGTCAAAAAGTTGAAGTGTTTATCAAAAATAGATCGAAAAAAACTCTTTGCTGACGTTCTAGATAAAAAAGAAGCCTTTAAAGACTATAAAAACAACTGTATGTGAAGAAACGCAAAATTAGAATTTTTCCAAAGGGGTTAATCCATCGTTTAGGTCAAAAATTTGAGATTTCTTCAACTTTCATTTTTTATGCAAAATAGAGCAAGTAAGAGTATCTGGGAACGTTCTAGTTAGAAAAAAGTTTCTATAATCCTTTGTAACCCCTGTAACCTCTTGTCACCCCCTGTCACCCCTTGTAACCCCCTGTAACCTCTTGTAACCCGTTGTAACCCCCTGTCACCCCTTGTAACCCCTTGTAACCCCCTGTAACCGCTTGTAACCCCCTGTATTCCCATGTCATAGATCGTGAAAATAAATAGTGAAAAACGATTTTTGACCTTTTATATAGCAAAAAAGGCTCTCTGAACAACGGAAACATCGGTTTCAAAAAGCCACAAAATTGACATTTTTCCAAAGGGGTTAGTCCATGGTTTTGGTCAAAAATTTGAAATTTTGTTAACGTTTCGTTTTATGCAAAAATACACCGAAAAAAGGTATTTGGTGACGTTCTCGTTAGAAAAGAACCCTTTTTAGACAATATAAACATGGATTTAAAAAGAAGGCAAAATTGGCATTTTTGCAAAGGGGATAGTCCATGATTTTGGTCAAAAAGTTGAAGTTTTTTCATCTTTTGTGTTTATCAAAAATAGATCGAAAAAAAGTGTTTGCTGACGTTCTAGATAAAAAAGAAGCCTTTAAAGACTATAAAAACAATTGTTTATGAAAAACGCAAAGTTAGAATTTTTCCAAAGGGGTTAGTCCATCGTTTTGGTCAAAAATTTGACATTTCTTCAACTTTGATTTTTTATACAAAATAGACCACGAAAAAGTATCTGGGAACGTTCTAGTTAGAAAAAAGTTTCTATAATCCTTTGTAACCCCCTGTCACCCCCTTTCACCCCCTGTAACCCCTTGTAACCCCCTGTAACCCTTTGTAACCCCCTGTCACCCCTTGTAACCCCCTGTAACCCCTTGTAACCTCTTGTAACCCCTGTCACCCCTTGTAACCCCTTGTAACCCCTTGTAACCCCTTGTATTCCCATGTCATAGATCGTTAAAATAAATAGTGAAAAACGATTTTTTACGTTTTATATAGCAAACAAGCCTTTGTGAACAAGGAAAACATCGGTTTCAAAAACCCACAAAATTGACATTTTTCCAAAGGGGTTAGTCCATGGTTTTGGTCAAAAATTTGAAATTTTGTTAACGTTTCGTTTTATGCAAAATACACCGACAAAAAGTATTTGGTGACGTTCTCGTTAGAAAACAAGCGTTTCTAGAGAATATAAACATGGATTTAAAAAGAAGGCAAAATTGGCATTTTCGCAAAGGGGATAGTCCATGATTTTGGTCAAAAAGTTGAAGATTTTTCATCTTTTGTGTTTATCAAAAATAGATCGAGAAAAACTCTTTGCTGACGTTCTAGATAAAAAAGAAGCCTTTAAAGACTATAAAAACAACTGTTTGTGAAAAACGCAAAATTAGAATTTTTCCAAAGGGGTTAGTCCATCGTTTAGGTCAAAAATTTGAGATTTCTTCAACTTTGATTTTTTATGCAAAATAGAGCAAGAAAAAGTATCTGGCAACGTTCTAGTTAGAAAAAAGTTTCTATAATCCTTTGTAACCCCTGTAACCTCTTGTCAAGCAAGCAAGCCTTGTCCATGATTTTGGTCAAAAAGTTGAAGTTTTTTCATGTTTTGTGTTTATCAAAAATAGATCGAAAAAAAGTGTTTGCTGACGTTCTAGATAAAAGAGAAGCCTTTAGAGACTATAAAAACAACTGTTTATGAAAAACGCAAAACTAGAATTTTCCATCGTTTTGGTCAAAAAATTTGACATTTCTTCAACTTTGATTTTTTATACAAAATAGACCAAGAAAAAGTATCTGGGAACGTTCTAGTTAGAAAAAAGTTTCTATAATCCTTTGTAACCCCCTGTAACCCCCTGTCACCCCTTGTAACCCCCTGTAACCCCTTGTAACCCCCTGTCACCCCCTGTAACCCCTTGTAACCCCTTGTAACCCCCTGTGACCCCTTGTAACCCCCTCTAACCCCTTGTAACCTCTTGTAACCCCTGTCACCCCTTGTAACCCCTTGTAACCCCCTGTATTCCCATGTCATAGATCGTGAAAATAAATAGTGAAAAACGATTTTTGACCTTTTATATAGCAAAAAAGGCTCTCTGAACAACGAAAACATCGGTTTCAAAAAGCCACAAAATTGACATTTTTCCAAAGGGGTTAGTCCATGGTTTTGGTCAAAAATTGGAAATTTTGTTAACGTTTCGTTTTATGCAAAAATACAGCGCGAAAAAGTATTTGGTGACGTTCTCGTTAGAAAACAAGCCTTTCTAGACAATATAAACATGGATTTAAAAAGAAGGCAAAATTGGCATTTTCGCAAAGGGGATAGTCCATGATTTTGGTCAAAAAGTTGAAGATTTTTCATCTTTTGTGTTTATCAAAAATAGATCGAGAAAAACTCTTTGCTGACGTTCTAGATAAAAAAGAAGCCTTTAAAGACTATAAAAACAACTGTTTGTGAAAAACGCAAAATTAGAATTTTTCCAAAGGGGTTAGTCCATCGTTTAGGTCAAAAATTTGAGATTTCTTCAACTTTGATTTTTTATGCAAAATAGAGCAAGAAAAAGTATCTGGCAACGTTCTAGTTAGAAAAAAGTTTCTATAATCCTTTGTAACCCCTGTAACCTCTTGTCAAGCAAGCAAGCCTTGTCCATGATTTTGGTCAAAAAGTTGAAGTTTTTTCATGTTTTGTGTTTATCAAAAATAGATCGAAAAAAAGTGTTTGCTGACGTTCTAGATAAAAAAGAAGCCTTTAAAGACTATAAAAACAACTGTTTATGAAAAACGCAAAATTAGAATTTTCCATCGTTTTGGTCAAAAAATTTGACATTTCTTCAACTTTGATTTTTTATACAAAATAGACCAAGAAAAAGTATCTGGGAACGTTCTAGTTAGAAAAAAGTTTCTATAATCCTTTGTAACCCCCTGTAACCCCCTGTCACCCCTTGTAACCCCCTGTAACCCCTTGTAACCCCCTGTCACCCCCTGTAACCCCTTGTAACCCCTTGTAACCCCCTGTCACCCCTTGTAACCCCCTCTAACCCCTTGTAACCTCTTGTAACCCCTGTCACCCCTTGTAACCCCTTGTAACCCCCTGTATTCCCATGTCATAGATCGTGAAAATAAATAGTGAAAAACGATTTTTGACCTTTTATATAGCATAAAAGGCTCTCTGAACAACGAGAACATCGGTTTCAAAAAGCCACAAAATTGACATTTTTCCAAAGGGGTTAGTCCATGGTTTTGGTCAAAAATTGGAAATTTTGTTAACGTTTCGTTTTATGCAAAAATACAGCGCGAAAAAGTATTTGGTGACGTTCTCGTTAGAAAACAAGCCTTTCTAGAGAATATAAACATGGATTTAAAAAGAAGGCAAAATTGGCATTTTCGCAAAGGGGATAGTCCATGATTTTGGTCAAAAAGTTGAAGTGTTTATCAAAAATAGATCGAGAAAAACTCTTTGCTGACGTTCTAGATAAAAAAGAAGCCTTTAAAGACTATAAAAACAACTGTTTGTGAAAAACGCAAAATTAGAATTTTTCCAAAGGGGTTAATCCATCGTTTAGGTCAAAAATTTGAGATTTCTTCAACTTTCATTTTTTATGCAAAATAGAGCAAGAAAAAGTATCTGGGAACGTTCTAGTTAGAAAAAAGTTTCTATAATCCTTTGTAACCCCTGTAACCTTTTGTCACCCCCTGTCACCCCTTGTAACCCCCTGTAACCTCTTGTAACCCCTTGTAACCCCCTGTCACCCCTTGTAACCCCTTGTAACCCCCTGTAACCGCTTGTAACCCCGTGTATTCCCATGTCATAGATCGTGAAAATAAATAGTGAAAAACGATTTTTGACCTTTTATATAGCAAAAAAGGCTTTCTGAACAACGAAAACATCGGTTTCAAAAACCGACGAAAGTGACATTTTTCCAAAGGGGTTAGTCCATGGTTTTGGTCAAAAATTGAAAATGTTCTTAACGTTTCGTTTTATGCAAAATACACCGAGAAAAAGTAAAACATGGATTTAAAAAGAAAGCAAAATTGGCATTTTTGCAAAGGGGATAGTTCCTGATTTTGGTCAAAAAGTTGAAGTTTTTTCATCTTTTGTGTTTATTAAAAATAGATAAAAAAAAAAGTGTTTGCTGACGTTCTAGATAAAAAAGAAGGCTTTAAAGACTATAAAAACAACTGTTTATGAAAAAGGCAAAATTAGAATTTTTCCAAAGGCGTTAGTCCATCGTTTTGCTCAAAAAATTTGAGATTTCTTCAACTTTGATTTTTTATACTAAATAGAGCAAGAAAAAGTATCTGGGAACGTTCTAGTTAGAAAAAAGTTTCTATAATCCTTTGTAACCCCCTGTATCCCCCTGTCACCCCTTGTAACCCCCTGTAACCCCTTTTAACCCCCTGTCACCCCTTGTAACCCCCTCTAACCCCTTGCAACCTCTTGTAACCCCTGTCACCCCTTGTAACCCCTTGTAATCCCCCGTATTCCCATGTCATAGATCGTGAAAATAAATAGTGTTAAACGATTTTTTACGTTTTATATAGCAAACAAGCCTTTCTGGACAACGAAAACATTGGTTTCAAAAAGCGACAAAATTGACATTTTTCCAAAGGGGTTAGTCCATCGTTTTGGTCAAAAATTTGAGATTTCTTCAACTTTGATTTTTTATGCAAAATAGACCAAGAAAAAGTACCTGGGAACGTTCTAGTTAGAAAAAAGTTTCTATAATCCTTTGTAACCCCCGGTAACCCCTTGTCACCCCCTGTCACCCCTTGTAACCCCCTGTAACCGCTTGTAACCCGTTGTAACCCCCTGTCACCCCTTGTAACCCCTTGTAAACCCCTGTAACCGCTTGTAACCCCCTGTATTCCCATGTCAGGGTTTTGTTAGTCTTAGGGTACTTTTGTATGACTGCTATTTCTGTCTTGAATGAGATTCTCTCATAACTTTATTGTGATGAGCGAGATGGGGATAGACCTCCCCGAACAGTCAGAGTAAACCGTCACGCAGCACACACTAAATGAGCCTCTGAGTGGTGTTATGTCTATGAATTTATGGTATGTTGTCTTTTTAACTGTCCCTCTTAGTCCTGTTGTGTGACCATTCAAATGTGTTCTTGGTAGAAAGCGGATTAGAGGGCCAAGACGAACATTATAATTGCCAGTTGATTAAGCTAACTCAATATCTTTGCACCCATGTCGTATATTCATCCATCACCATTCTTTTTCATTCATGTTGAGAGGCCATCTTCCCTGGTTTATCTTCAGGCTGCCATTGAAAATTGTTGTCATTTCAGATGATTTTGTTCTCAATTGGTTTGGCGCTTGGTCCACTGGTGTGCTGTATCAAGTTGGCAAGAAGATCACTAGTACTTGGAAAAATCCAATGTAAGTACAAGATATTCCGAAGAACAAAGATATGGCAAAAAATATCTAATGAAACCATCATTAAAAACGGTAGTCGCGATCCTGGAGTCCTCGACTGCTAAAAGTGATTACGTCACAAGTGGTAGAAGGGACGAGGATCTGCACAGGCAGTTCAGGGGCGAATGGGTCAATGGAAAATTTTACGCCGTAGTCCTGCAGAAATGTGGCCAAAAGTTTGATGCATGTGCAGAATTGTTGTTGTTGTTGCTGTTGTTAGTTATTAAAAAAGCGCTTTATCTGAACACGAAAGTACTAACTGAGGACACAAATTGTACATCTCCTACTAGAGATGGGACCTCCATTTTTTGTGGTTATCAGACCCACGCGATGGCAGTACCTTCATTGCTCAGTTATTGTGGAGCTCTCAGAGTATTGGTCCAGTCCCAAGGATTGAACCCACGACCTCCCGCATTGAAATCAAAGTTTTTATTAGCCGTCGCCGTCGTAGTCGCTTGAGCTCGCAATTGAAGTGATCATCGTAGAATTATATTAATAAAAGGGCCTTTTTGGATACGTATAGGGTTGTGTACTATCTGGTTTGATGACAACTGTATGTTATTCTCTTTTTGCTTTTTCACACAGTACACTCCTCCAGACTACTTACCCAAAGTGTATGAAGACCTTCCAATGTCACCCACTCACAGAGAAACTGTCATCAACACGTTTTTGTACGTTCATCAAACGCTACACCAAGCCAAGGAGCGCTTAGCCAAACAAGGAGGTCGAGTGATGGCTATCACACCTCGACACTACCTGGACTTCATTAACCACTATGTAAGTACAATCCACGATTCTGAAATAGTTAAGACCATAGTGAGCATGGGTGGTGTCGGTGGTGAGATCATTCACCTCCCACCAGTGACTTGTGGCTCGGGTTCAAATCCCAGTGTTGACGCCATACGCGGGCTGGGTTTGTTGTTGGCTCGTTCCCTTGCTCCAAGAGGTTTCTCTCTGGGTTCCCCGGTTTTACCCTCTCCTTAAAAACCAACACTTTGCAAATTCCAATTCAATCTGGAACGCCCGGACACTTTAAAACAAAGAACTTTTCAGTCTCACGTGGGTGAACAGATTTCAAGACTATTGAAAAAAATTATTCTGTACTTGTTTTTACCTTCTTAATATCAGGAAACATACCAAGACAAGAGTGGAAACATTTTTGACGCATAATCGTATAGCAGTCACATTTGTATGGCGTAAGGTCGGGAAAAAATAGATACTCAGATTTTGTGGCCTTGGAAACACTTCTTCGCTTCGAAAATTGTTCTTCAAGTCATTGTCTGTTGTCTTCATGGCGTCGGTTCCATGTCTTTGAGTCGTCACATCCCTCGTTTCATCGTACTGTTTTCTTCGGGGCACCGCGGGCTTTTCTTCGTGGCGTCGCTATGGGCTTATGTCCTTGTTACGTCATTTTTATGTCTTCGTGTGGTCGGGCCTTCCTTTCGTTAACTGCGCTACATACTTGAACAGGTACTTGATATATAGGGACATATATTGTACCGACTTTACTTGCACAATTTATACCTTCCCTTTTTTGCTTGGTACCTTGTTGCTATGTTACCTTGTTACCCTGTTACCTTGTTATCCTATTACCTTGTTACCCTGTTACCCTGTTCCCTTGTTACCCTGTTACCTTAAAACCCTGTTACCCTGTTACCTTGTTACCCTGTTACCCTTTTGAAAAATGCCAATTTTGCCTTCTTTTTAAATCCATGTTTATATTGTGTAGAAAGGCTTGTTTTCTAACGAGAACGTCACCCAGTACTTTTTCTGGGTGTATTTTGCATAAAACGAAACGTTAAAAAAAATTTCAAATTTTTCACCAAAAAATGGAGTAACCCCTTTGGAAAAATGTCAATTTTGTGGGTTTTAGAAACCGATCTTTTCGTTGTTCAGACAGGCTTGTTTGCTATATGAAACGTCAAAAATCGTTTTTCACTATTTAATTTCACGATCTATGACATGGGAATACCGGGGGTTACCAGGGGTTACAGGGGGTTACAAGGGGTTACAGGGGGTTACAAGGGGTGACAGGGGGTGACAAAGGGTTACAGGGGGTTACAAAGGATTATAGAAACTTTTTCTTACTAGAACGTTCCCAGATACTTTTTCTTGGTCTATTTTGCATAAAAAATCAAAGTTGAAGAAATGTCAAATTTTTTGACCAAAACGATGGACTAACCCCTTTAGAAAAAATTTAGAAAATTTTGCGTTTTTCATAAACAGTTGTTTTTATAGTCTTTAAAGGCTTCTTTTTTATCTAGAAGGTAAGAAAACACTTTTTCTCGATCTATTTTTGATAAACACAAAAGATGAAAAAACTTCAACTTTTTGACCAAAATCATGGACTATCCCCTTTGCAAAAATGCCAATTTTTCCTTGTTTTTAAATCCATGTTTATATTGTTTAGAAAGGCTTTTTTGCTAACGAGAACGTCACCAAATACTTTTTGTCGGTGTATTTTGCATAAAACGAAACGTTAACAAAATTTCAAATTTTTCACAAAAACCATGCACTAACCCCTTTGGAAAAATGTCAATTTTGTCGGTTTTTGAAACCGATGCTTTCGTTGCTCAGAAAGGCTTGTTTGCTATATAAAAGGTCAAAAACCGTTTTTAACTATTTATTTTCACGATCTATGACATGGGAATACAGGGGGTTACAGGGGGTTACAAGGGGTGACAGGGGGTTACAAGGGGTTACAAGAGGTTACAGGGGGTTACAAGGGGTGACAGGGGGTGACAAGGGGTTACAGGGGGTTACAAAGGATTATAGAAACTTTTTTCTAACTAGAACATTCCCAGATCCTTTTTCTTGGTCTATTTGGCATAAAAAATCAAAGTTGAAGAAATCTCAAATTTTTGACCAAAACGATGGACTAACCCCTTTGGAAAAATTCTAATTTTGCGTTTTTCATAAACAGTTGTTTTTATAGTCTTTAAAGGCTTCTTTTTTATCTAGAAGGTAAGAAAACACTTTTTCTCGATCTATTTTTGATAAACACAAAAGATGAAAAAACTTCAACTTTTTGACCAAAATCATGGACTATCCCCTTTGCAAAAATGCCAATTTTTCCTTGTTTTTAAATCCATGTTTATATTGTTTAGAAAGGCTTTTTTGCTAACGAGAACGTCACCAAATACTTTTTGTCGGTGTATTTTGCATAAAACGAAACGTTAACAAAATTTCCAATTTTTGACCAAAACCATGCACTAACCCCTTTGGAAAAATGTCAATTTTGTGGGTTTTTGAAACCGATGCTTTCGTTGTGCAGAAAGGCTTGTTTGCTATATAAAAGGTCAAAAACCGTTTTTAACTATTTATTTTCACGATCTATGACATGGGAATACAGGGGGTTACAAGGGGTTACAAGGGGTGACAGGGGTTTACAAGGGGTTACAAGGGGTTACAGGGGGTTACAAGGGGTGACAGGGGGTTACAAGGGGTGACAGGGGGTGACATGGGGTTACAGGGGCTTACAAAGGATTATAGAAACTTTTTTTCTAACTAGAACGTTCCCAGATACTTTTTCTTGGTCTATTTTGCATAAAAAATCAAAGTTGAAGAAATGTCAAATTTTTGACCAAAACGATGGACTAACCCCTTTGGAAAAATTCTAATTTTTCGTTTTTCATAAACAGTTGTTTTCATAGTCTTTAAAGGCTTCTTTTTTATCTAGAACGTCAGCAAACACTTTTTCTCGATGTATTTTTGATAAACCCAAAAGATGAAAAAACTTTAAGTTTTTGACCAAAATCATGAACTATCCGCTTTGGAAAAGTGCCAATTTTGCCTTCTTTTTAAATCCATGTTTATATTGTCTAGAAAGGCTTGTTTTCTAACGAGAACGTCACCAAATACTTTTTGTCGGTGTATTTTGCATAAAACGAAACGTTAACAAAATTTCCAATTTTTGACCAGAACCATGGACTAACCCCCTTGGAAAAATGTGAATTTTGTGGGTTTTTGAAACCGATGTTTTCGTTGTTCAGAAAGACTTGTTTGCTATATAAAACGTCAAAAATCGTTTTTCACTATTTCTTTTCACGCTCTATGACATGGGAATACAGGGGGTTACAAGGGGTTACAGGGGGTTTCAAGGGGTTACAAGGGGTGACAGGGGGTTACAAGGGGTGACAGGGGGTTTTTAAGGATTATAGAATCTTTTTTTTAACTAGAACGTTCCCAGATACTTTTTCTTGGTCTATTTTGCATAAAAATTCAAAGTTGTAGAAATCTCAAATTTTTGATCAAAACGATGGACTAACCCCTTTGGAAAAATTCTAATTTTGCGTTTTTCATAAACAGTTGTTTTTATAGTCTTTAAAGGCTTCTTTTTTATCTAGAACGTTAGCAAACACTTTTTCTCGATGTATTTTTGATAAACACAAAAGATGAAAAAACTTCAACTTTTTGACCAAAATCATGAACTATCCCCTTTGCAAAAATGCCAATTTTGCCTTCTTTTTAAATCCATGTTTATATTGTCTAGAAAGGCTTGTTTTCTAACGAGAACGTCACCAAATACTTTTTGTTGGTGTATTTTGGATAAAGCGAAACGTTAACAAAATTTCCAATTTTTGACCAAAACCATGGACTAACCCCCTTGGAAAAATGTGAATTTTTTGGGTTTTTGAAACCGATGTTTTCGTTGTTCAGAAAGGCTTGGTTGCTATATAAAACGTCAAAAATCGTTTTTTCACTATTTATTTTCACGATCTATGACATGGGAATAGAGGGGGTTAAGGGGTTTCAGGGGGTTACAAGGGGTGACATTGAGTTACAAGGGGTTACAGGGTTTTACAAGGGGTCACAAGGGGTTACAGGGGGTTACAAAGGATTATAGAAACTTTTTTCTAACTAGAACATTCCCAGATACTATTTCTTGGTCTATTTTGTATAAAAAATCAAAGTTGAAGAAATCTCAAATTTTTGACTAAAACGATGGACTAACCCCTTTGAAAAAATTCTAATTTTACGTTTTTCATAAACAGTTGTTTTTCTAGTCTTTAAACGCTTCTTTTTTATCTAGAACGTCAGCAAACTCTTTTTCACGATCTATTTTGATAAACACAAAAGATGAAAAAACTTTAACTTTTTGACCAAAATCATGGACTATCCCCTTTGGAAAAATGCCAATTTTGCCTTCTTTTTAAGTCCATGTTTATATTGTCTAGAAAGGCTTGTTTTCTAACGAGAACGTCACCAAATACTTTTTCTCGGTGTATTTTGCATAAAACGAAACGTTAACAAAATTTCCAATTTTTGACCAAAACCATGGACTAACCCCTTTGGAAAAATGTCAATTTTGTGGGTTTTTGAAACCGATGTTTTCGTTGTTCAGAAAGGCTGTTTTGCTATATAAAAGGTTAAAAATCGTTTTTTCACTATTTATTTTCACGATCTATGACATGGGAATACAGGAGGTTACAAGGGGTTACAGGGGGTTACAAGGGGTGACAAGGGGTGACAGGGGGTTACAAGGGGTTACAGGGGGTTACAAGGGGTGACAGGGTGTTACAGGGAGTTACAAAAGATTATAGAATGTTTTTTCTAACTAGAACGTTCCCAGATACTTTTTCTTGGTCTATTTTACATAAAAATTCAAAGTTGTAGAAATCTCAAATTTTTGATCAAAACGATGGACTAACCCCTTTGGAAAAATTCTAATTTTGTGTTTTTCATAAACAGTTGTTTTTATAGTCTTTAAAGGCTTCTTTTTTATCTAGAACGTCAGGAAACACTTTTTCTCGGTCTTGTTTTGATAAACACAAAAGATGAAAAAACTTCAACTTTTTGACTAAAATCATGGACTATCCCCTTTGCAAAAATGCCAATTTTGCCTTCTTTTTAAATTCATGTTTATATTGTCTAGAAAGGCTTTTTTCTAACGACAAAAAATAAAACCTCAAAATCGGACTATTTCCGCTCTATGACATGGGAATACAGGGGTTACAAAAAGGGTGACAGGGGGTTATTTTTACAAGGGGTGACAAGGGGTGAGAGGGGTTACAGGCGGTTACAAAGGATTATAGAAACTTTGTTCTGACTAGAACGTTCCCAGATACTGTTTCTTGAACTATTTTACATCAAAAATCAAAGTTGAACAAATCTTAAATTTTTGACCAAAACGATGGACTAACCCCTTTGGAAAAATTCTAATTTTGCGTTTTTCATAAACAGTTGTTTTATAGTCTTTAAAGGCTTCTTTTTATCTAGAACGTCAGCAAACACTTTTTCTCGGTCTTTTTTTGATAAACAGAAAAGATGAAAAAACTTCAACTTTTGACCAAAATCATGGACTATCCTCTTTTGCAAAATGCCAATTTTGCCTTCTTTTTAAATTCATGTTTATATTGTCTAGAAAGGCTTGTTTTCTAACGAGAACGTCACCAAATACTTTTTGTCGGTGTATTTTGCATAAAAGGAAACGTTACCAAAATTTTCAATTTTTGACCCAAACCATGGAGTAACCCCTTTGGAAAAATGTCAATTTTGTGGGTTTTTCAAACCGATGTTTTAGTTGTTCAGAAAGGCTTGTTTGCTATATAAAACGTCAAAAATCCTTTTTTATCTATTTATTTTCACGATCTATGACATGGGAATACAGGGGGTTACAAGGGGTTACAGGCTGTTACAAGAGGTTACAAGGGGTTACAGTGGGTTACAAGGGGTTACAGGGGGTTACAAGGGGTGACAGGGGGTTACAGTCGGTTACAAAGTATTATAGAAACTTTGTTCTGACTAGAACGTTACCAGATACTTTTTCTCGAACTATTTTGCATCAAAAATCAAAGTTGAAGAAATATTAAATTTTTGACCAAAACGATGGACTAACACCTTTGGAAACATTCTAATTTTGCGTTTTTCATAAACAGTTGTTTTATAGTCTTTAAAGGCTTCTTTTTTTTATCTAGAACGTCAGCAAACACTTTTTCTCGGTCTTTTTTTTTTGATAAACAGAAAAGATGAAAAAACTTCAACTTTTTGACCAAAAATCATGGACTATCCCCTTTGCAAAAATGCCAATTTTGCCTTCTTTAAATTCATGTTTATATTGTCTAGAAAGTCTTGTTTTCTAACGAGAACGTCACCAAATACTTTTTGTCGGTGTATTTTGCATAAAACGAAACGTTAACAAAATTTCCAATTTTTGACCAAAACCATGGACTAACCCCTTTGGAAAAATGTCAATTTTGTGGGTTTTTGAAACCGATGTTTTTTCGTTGTTCAGAAAGGCTTGTTTGCTATATAAAACGTCAAAAATCGTTTTTTCACTAATTATTTTCACGATCTATGTCATGGGAATACAAGGGGTTACAAGGGATTACATTGGGTTACAAGGGGTTACAAGGGGTGACAGGGTGTTACAGGGAGGGGTTACAAAGGATTATAGAATGTTTTTCTAACTAGAACGTTCCCAGATACTTTTTCTTGGTCTATTTTGCATAAAAATTTAAACTTGAAGAAATCTCAAATTTTTGACCAAAACGATAGACTAACCCCCTTTGGAAAAATTCTAATTTTGCGTTTTTATAAACAGTTGGTTTTATAGTCTTTAAAGGCTTCTTTTTATCTAGAACGACAGCAAACACTTTTTCTTGATCTATTTTTGATAAACAAAAAAGATGAAAAAACTTCAACTTTTGACCGAAATCATGGACTATCCCTTTGCGAAAATGCCAGTTTTGCCTTCTTTTTAAATCCATGTTTATATTGTCTAGAAAGGCTTGTTTTCTAACGAGAACGTCACCAAATACTTTTTGTCGGTGTATTTTGCATAAAACGAAACGTTAACAAAATTTCCAATTTTTGACCAAAACCATGGACTAACCCCTTTGGAAAAATGTCATTTTGTGGGTTTTGAAACCGATGTTTTCGTTGTTCAGAAAGGCTTGTTTGCTATATAAAACGTCTAAAATCGTTTTTCACTATTTATTTTCACGATCTATGACATGTTAATACCGGGGGTTACAAGGGATTACCAGGGTTACAAGGGGTGACAGGGGTTACAAGGGGTGACAGGGGTTACAGGGGTTACAAGTGGTGACAGGGGTTACAAGAGGTTACAGGGGTTACAAAGGATTATAGAATGTTTTTTCTAACTAGAACTTTCCCAGATACTTTTTCTTGGTCTATTTTGCATAAAAATTTAAACTTGTAGAAATCTCAAATTTTTGACCAAAACGATGGACTAACCCCTTTGGAAAAATTCTAATTTTGCGTTTTCCATAAACAGTCGTTTTATAGTCTTTAAAGGCTTCTTTTTTTATCTAGAACGTCAGCAAACACTTTTTCTCGATGTATTTTTGATAAACACAAAAATGAAAAAACCTCAACTTTTTGACTAAAATGATGGACTATCCCTTTGCAAAAATGCCAATTTTGCCTTCTTTTTAAATTCATGTTTATATTGTCTAGAAAGGGGTTTTTTTCTAACAAGGGTTATGGACGTCACAAATACTTTTTTGTCGGGGTTACATTTTGCATAAAACGAAACGTTAACAAAATTTCCAATTTTACATGGGGTTACAAAAACCAAAAAGACTAAAAAAGGTTACAAAAAATGTTAATTTTACAAAGGGGTTACAAGGGGTTACAAAGGGTTAGAAGGGGTTAAAAGGGTTACAGGGGTTTAAAGGGTTACAAGTTTTGCAAGGGGTTATTACAAAAGGGGTTACAAGGGGTTACAAGGGGTTACATGGGGTTACAAGGGATTACAAGGGGTTACAAGGGGTTACAAGGGGTTACATGGTGTTACAAGGGTTTACAAGGGGTTACTAGGGGTTAAAAGGGGTTACATGGGGTTACAAGGCGTTACAGGGGGTTACAGGGGGTGAAAATAGGTTACAAGAAGTTACAAGGGTTTACATGGGGTTACAAGGGGTTACAGGGGGTTACAGGGGGTTACAGGGGGTTACAACGGGTTACAAGGGGTTACATCGGGTTACAAGGGGTTACAAGGGGTTACAAGGGGATACAAGGGGTTACAAGGTGTTTCAAGGGGTTACAAGGGGCTACAAGGGGTTACATGGGGTTACAAGGGGTGACAGGGGGTGAAAAGGGGTTACAGAGGGTTACAAACGATTATAGAAACTTTTTTCTAACTAGAACGTTCCCAGATACTTTTTCTTAATCTATTTTGCAAAAAAATCAAAGTTGGAGAAATCTCAAATTTTTTATCAAAACGATGGACTAACTTCTTTGGAAAAATTCTAATTTTGCGATTTTCGTACAAAGTTGTTTTTATAGTCTTTAAAGGCTTTTTTTGTATCTAGAAGGTCAGAAAACACTTTTTCTCGATCCATTTTTGATAAACACACAACATGAAAAATCTTTAACTTTTTGACCAAACCATGGACTAACCCCTTTGCAAAAATGCCAATTTTGTGGGTTTTTGAAAGCGATGTTTTTGTTGTTCAGAAAGGCTTGTTTGCTATATAAAACGTCGAGAATCGTTCTTTCACGATTTATTTTCACGATCTGTGACCTGGGAATACAGGGGTTACACGGAGTTACAGGAGGTTACAGGGGGTTACAAGGGGTTACAAGGGGTTACAAGGGGTTACAGGGGGTTACAAGGGGTTACAAGGGATGACAGGGGTTGACAAGGAATTAAAGGAGGTTAGAGTGGATTATAGAAACTTTTTTCTAACTAGAACGTTCCCAGATACTTTTTCTTAGTCTATTTTGCATAAAAATAAAAGTTGAAGAAATCTAAAATTTTTGATAAAAACGATGGACTAACCCCTTTGGAAAAATTCCAATTTTGTGTTTTTCGTACAAAGTTGTTTTTATAGTCTTTAAAGGCTTCTTTTTTATCTAGAACGTCAGCAAACACTTTTTCTCGATCCATTTTTGATAAACACAAAAGATAAAAAAACTTCAACTTTCTGACCAAAATCATGGACTATCCCCTTTTGCAAAAATGCAAATTTTGACTTCTTTTTAAATCCATGTTTATATTCTCTAAGAAGCCTTGTTTTCTAACGAGAACGTCACCAAATACTTTTTCTGGGTGTATTTTGCATAAAACGAAACGGTCACAAAATTTCCAATTTTTGACCAAAACCATGGACTAACCCCTTTTAAAAAATGCCAAATTTTTGCCTTTTTGAAACCGATGTTTTTGTTGTTCAGAAAGGCTTGTTTCCTATATAAAACGTCGAAAATCGTTTATCCACGATCTATTTTCACGATCTTTGGCACGGGAATAACGGGCTTACAAGGGGTTACAGGGGGTTACAGGGGCTTACAGTGGGTTACAGGGGGTTACAAGGGCTTAGGAGGGGCTACAGGGTGGTACAGGGAGTTACAAGGGGTTACAGGGGGTTGCAAGGGGTTAAAAGGGGTGACAGGGGGTGACAAGGGGTTACAGGGGGTTACAAATAATTATAGAAACTTTTTTCTAACTACAACGTTCCCAGATACTTTTTCTTAGTCCTTTTTGCATCAAAATCAAAGGTGAAGAAATCTCAAATTTTTGATCAAAACGATGGACTAACCCCTTTGGAAAAATTCCAATTTTGCGTTTTTCGTACACAGTTGTTTTTATAGTCTTTAAAGACTTCTTTTTTATCTAGAACGTCAGCAAAAACTTTTTCTCATCCATTTTTGATAAACACAAAACATGAAAAAACTTCAACTTTTTGAGCAAAATCATGGACTATCCCCTTTGCAAAAATGCCAATTTTGCCTTCTTTTTAAATCCATGTTTATATTCTCTAGGAAGGCTTGTTTTCTAACGAGAACGTCACCAAATACTTTTTCTGGGTGTATTTTGCATAAAACGAAACGTTCACAAAATTTCCAATTTTTGACCAAAACCATGGACTAACCCCTTTGCAAAAATGCCAATTTTGTGGGTTTTTGAAAGCGATGTTTTTGTGTTCAGAAAAGCTTGTTTAGTATCTAAAACGTGGAAAATCGTTTTTCCACGATTTATTATCACGATCTATGACATGGGAATAGAGTGGGTTACAACGGATTACAAGGGGTTAAAGGGGCTTACAGAGGTTACAAGAGGTTACAAGGGGTTAAAAGGGGTTACAAGGGGTTAAAAGAGGTTACAAGCTGTTACAAGGGGTTACAAGGGGTTACAAGGGGTTACAGGGGGGTTACAAGGGGTTACAGGGGGGTACAAGGGGTTACAAGGGGTTACAAGGAGTTTAAAGGGGTTACATGGGGTTACAGGGGGTTACGAGGGGTTACAAGGGGTTAAAAGGGGTTACAAGGGGTTACAGGGAGGTTACAAGGGGTTACAAGGGGTTGCAAGGGGTTACAAGGGGTTACAAGAGGTTACAGGGGGGTTACAATGGGTTACAAGGGGTTACAAAGGGTTACATGGGGTTACAAGGAGTTACAAGGGGTTACAAGGGGTTACAAGGGGTTGCAAGGGGTTACAAGGGGATACATGGGGTTACAAGGGGATACAGGGGAGTACAGGGGGTTACAAGGGGTTACAAGGGGTTACAAGGGGTTACATGGGGTTACAAGAAGTTACAAGCGTTTACATGGGGTTACAAGGGGTTAAAGGGGGTTACAGGGGGTTACAGGGGGATACAAGGGGTTACAAGGGGGTACATGGGGTTACAAGGGGTTACAAGGGGTTACAAGGAGTTACATGGGGTTACAAGAGGTTACAAGGGGTTACAAGGCGTTATATGGGGTTACATGGGGTTACAAGGGGTTACAGGGGGTTACAGGGGGTTACAGGGGGTTACAACGGGTTACAAGGGGTTACATGGGGTTACAAGGGGTTACAAGGGGTTACAAGGCGTTACAAGGGGTTACAAGGTGTTTTAAGGGGTTACAAGGGGTTACAAGGGGTTACATGGGGTTACAAGGGGTGAGAGGGGGTGAAAAGGGGTTACAGAGGGTAACAAACGATTATAGAAACTTTTTTCTAACTACAACGTTCCCAGATACTTTTTCTTAGTCCTTTTTGCATCAAAATCAAAGGTGAAGAAATCTCAAATTTTTCATAAAAACGATGGACTAACCCCTTTGGAAAAATTCCAATTTTGCGTTTTTCGTACACAGTTGTTTTTATAGTCTTTAAAGGCTTCTTTTTTATCTAGAACGTCAGCAAAAACTTTTTCCCATCCATTTTTGATAAATACAAAACATGAAAAAACTTCAACTTTTTGAGCAAAATCCTGGACTATCCCCTTTGCAAAAATGCAAATTTTCCCTTCTTTTTAAATCCACGTTTATATTCTCTAAGAAGGCTTGTTTTCTAACGAGAACGTCACAAAATACTTTTTCTGGGTGTATTTTGCAGAAAACAAAAGGTTCACAAAATTTCCAATTTTTGACCAAAACCATGGACTAACCCCTTTGCAAAAATGCCAATTTTGTGGGTTTTTGAAAGCGATGTTTTTGTGTTCAGAAAAGCTTGTTTAGTATCTAAAACGTGGAAAATCGTTTTTCCACGATTTATTATCACGATCTATGACATGGGAATAGAGTGGGTTACAACGGGTTACAAGGGGTTACAGGGGGTTACAGAGGTTACAAGGGGTTACAAGGGGTTACAAGGGGTTACAAGGGGTTACAAGGGGTTACAGGCGTTACAAGGGGTTACAAGGGGTTACAAGGGGTTACAAGGGGTTACAAAGGGGTTAAAGGGGGATTACAAGGGGTTACAAGGGGTTACAAGGGGTTTTAAGGGGTTACAGGGGGTTACAAAGGGTTGCAAGGGGTTACAAAGGGTTACAAGGGGTTACATGGGGTTACAAGGGGTTATAAGGGGTTACATGGGGTTACAAGGGGTTACAGGGGGTTACAGGGGGTTACAAGGGGTTACAACGGGTTACAAGGGGTCACAAAATACTTTTTCTGGGTGTATTTTGCATAAAACGAAACGTTCACGAAATTTCCAATTTTGGACCAAAACCATGGACTAACCCCTTTGCAAAAATGCCAATTTTGTGGGTTTTTGAAAGCGATGTTTTTGTGTTCAGAAAAGCTTTTTAGTGTCTAAAACGTGGAAAATCGTTTTTCCACGATTTATTATCACGATCTATGACATGGGAATAGAGTGGGTTACAACGGGTTACAAGGGGTTACAGGGGGTTAAAGAGGTTACAAGAGGTTACATGGGGTTACAAGGGGTTACAGGGGGTTAAAAGGGGTTACAAGCTGTTACAAGGGGTTACAAGGGGTTACAGGGGGGTTACAAGGGGTTATAAGGGGTTACAAAGGGTTACATGGGGTAACAAGGGGTTACAAGGGGTTACAAGGGGTTACAAGGAGTTACATGGGGTTACAAGGGTTTACAAGGAAATACCAGGAGTTACAAGGGGTTACATGGGGTTACAAGGGGTTACAGGGGGTTACAGGGAGTTACAAGGGGTTAAAAGGGGTTACAAGGGGTTACATGGGGTTACAAGAAGTTACAAGGGTTTACATGGGGTTACAAGGGGTTACAGGGGGTTACAGGGGGTTAAAGGGGGTTACAAGGGGTTACAAGGGGTTACATGGGGTTACAAGGGGTTACAGGGGGTTACCGGGGGTTACATGGGGTTAAAAGGGGTTACAAGGGGTTACATGGGGTTACAAGGGGTTACAGGGGGTTACAAGGGGTTACTAGGGGTTACAGGGGGGTTCAAGGGGTTACAAGGGGTTACAAGGGGTTACAAGGGGTTACAAGGGGTTACAAGGGGTTACAAGGGGTTACAAAGGATTACAAGGGGTTACATGGGGTTACAAGACGTTACATTGGGTTACAAGGGGTTACAAGGGGTTACATGGGGTTACAAGGGGTTACAAGGGGTTACATGGGGTTACAAGGGGTTACAGGGGGTTACCGGGGGTTACATGGGGTTGAAAGGGGTAACAACGGGTTACATGGGGTTACAAGGGGTTACAGGGGGTTACAAGGGGTTTCTAGGGGTTACAGGGGGGTTCAAGGGGTTACAAGGGGTTACAAGAGGTTACAAGGGGTTACATGGGGTTACAAGGGGTTACAAGGGGTTACAAGGGATTACAAGGGGTTACATGGGGTTACAAGGGGTTACAAGGGGTTACAGGGGGTTACAAGGGGTTACAAGGGGTCACAAGGGGTTACAAGGGGTTACAGGGGGTTACAAGGGGTTACAAGGGGTTGCAAGGGGTTACAAAAGAGGTTACAGGGGGGTTACAAGGGGTTACAAGGGGTTACAAAGGGTTACATGGGGTTACAAGGGGTTACATGGGTTTACAAGGGTTTACAAGGGGTTACTAGGGGTTAAAAGGGGTTACATGGGGTTACAAGGGGTTACAGGAGGTTAAAGGGGGTTACAAGGGGTTACAAGGGGTTACATGGGGTTACAAGAAGTTACAAGGGTTTACATGGGGTTACAAGGGGTTACAGGGGAGTTACAGGGGTTAAAGGGGTTACAAGGGGTTACAAGGGGTTACCTGGGGTTACAAGGGGTTACAAGGGGTTACAAGGGGTTACAAGGGGTTACATGGGGTTACAAGGGGTTACAAGGGGTTACAAGGGGTTACAAGGGGTTACATGGGGTTACAAGGGGTTACAGGGGTTACAGAGGGTTACAAGGGGTTACAAGGGGATACAAGGGGTTACACGGGGTTAAAACGGGTTACAAGGGGTTACATGGGGTTACAAGGGGTTACAGGGGGTTACAGGGGGTTACAGGCGGATACAAGGGGTTACTAGGGGTTACATGGGGTTACAAGGGGTTTCAAGGGGTTACAAGGGGTTACAAGGGGTTACCTGGGGTTACAAGGGGTGACAGGGGGTGAAAAGGGAATACAGAGGGTTACAAACGATTTTAGAAACTTTTTTCTAACTAGAACGTTCCCAGATACTTTTTCTTAATCCATTTTGCAAAAAAATCAAAGTTGGAGAAATCTCAAATTTTTTATCAAAACGATGGACTAACCTCTTTGGAAAAATTCTAATTTTGCGTTTTTCGTACAAAGTTGTTTTTATAGTCTTTAAAGGCTTTTTTTGTATCTAGAACGTCAGAAAACACTTTTTCTCGATCAATTTTTGATAAACACAAAAGATAAAAAAACTTCAACTTTCTGACCAAAATCATGGACTATCCCCTTTGCAAAAATGCCAATTTTGCCTTCTTTTTAAATTCATCTTTATATTGTCTGGAAAGGCGTTTTCTAACGACAAAGTCACCAAATACTTTTTCTGGGTGTATTTTGCATAAACCGAAACGTTTACCAAATTTCCAATTTTTGACCAAAACCATGGACTGACCCCTTTTCAAAAATGCCATTTCTGTGCGTTTTTGAAACCGATCTTTTTGTTGATCCGAAACGCTTGTTTGCTATATAAAACGTGGAAAATCGTTTTTCCACGATTTATTTTCACGATCTTTGGCATGGGAATAACGGGGTTACAAGGGGTTACAGGAGGTTACAGGGGGTTAAAAGGGGTTACAACCTGTTACAAGAGGTTACAAGGGGTTACAAAAGGGATTACCGGGGGTTTCAAAAAGGGTTACAAGGGGTTACAAGGAGTTACAAGGGGTTACATGGGGTTACAAAAAGGGGTTACAAGGGGTTACAAAGGGTTAAAAGGGTTACAGGGGTTACAAGGGGTTACAAGAGGTTACAGGGGGTTACAAGGGGTTGAAAAGGGGTTACAAGGGGTTACAAGGGGTTACAAGGGGTTAGAGGGGGGTTACAAGGGGTTACAAGCGGTTGCAGGGGGTTACAAGGGATTACAGGGGGGTTACAAGGGGTTACAAGGGGTTACAAAGGGTTACATGGGGTTTCAAGGGGTTACAAGGGGTTACAAGGGGTTACATGGGGTTAGAAGGGGTTACAAGGGGTTACAAGGGGTTACAAGGGGATACAGGGGGTTACATGGGGTTAAAAGGGGTGACAGGGGGTGACAAGGGGTTACAAGGGGTTACATGGGGTTACAAGGGATTACAGGGGGTTACAGGGGGTTACAGGCGGTTACAAGGGGTTACAAGGGGTTACAAGGGGTTACATGGGGTTACAAGGGGTTTCAAGGGGTTACAAGGGGTTACAGGGAGTTACATGGGGTTAAAAGGGGTGAGAGGGGGTGACAAGGGGTTACAGAGGGTTACAAAGGATTATAGAAACCTTTTTCTAACTAGAACGTTCCCAGATACTTTTTGTTAGTCTATTTTGCAAAAAAATCAAAGTTGGAGAAATCTCAAATTTTTGATCAAAACGATGGACTAACCCCTCTGGAAAAATTCTAATTTTGCGTTTTTCGTACAAAGTTGTTTTTATAGTCTTTAAAGGCTTTTTTTGTATCTAGAAGGTCAGAAAACACTTTTTCTCGATCCATTTTTGATAAACACACAACATGAAAAATCTTTAACTTTTTGACCAAACCATGGACTAACCTCTTTGCAAAAATGCCAATTTTGTGGGTTTTTGAAAGCGATGTTTTTGTTGTTCAGAAAGGCTTGTTTGCTATATAAAACGTCAAGAATCGTTCTTTCACGATTTATTTTCACGATCTATGACCTGGGAATACAGGGGTTACACGGGGTTACAGGAGGTTACAGGGGGTTACAAGGGGTTACAAGGGGTTACAAGGGGTTACAGGGGGTTACAAGGGGTTACAAGGGATGACAGGGGGTGACAAGGAATTACAGGAGGTTAGAGTGGATTATAGAAACTTATTTCTAACTAGAACGTTCCCAGATACTTTTTCTTAGTCTATTTTGCATAAAAATCAGAGTTGAAGAAATCTCAAATTTTTGATAAAAACGATGGACTAACCCCTTTGGAAAAATTCCAATTTTGTGTTTTTCGTACAAAGTTGTTTTTATAGTCTTTAAAGGCTTCTTTTTTATCCAGAACGTCAGCAAAAACTTTTTCTCGATCTATTTTTGATAAACACAAAAGATGAAAAAACTTCCAACTTTTTGACCAAAATCATGGACTATCCCCTTTGCAAAAATGCCAATTTTGCCTTCTTTTTAAGTCCATGTTTATATTGTCTAGAAAGGTTTGTTTTCTAACGAGAACGTCACCAAATACTTTTTTTGGGTGTATTTTGCAGAAAACGAAACGGTCACAAAATTACCAATTTTTGACAAAAACCATGGACTAACCCCTTCTCAAAAATGCCAAATTTTTGCATTTTTGAAACCGATGTTTTTGTTGTTCAGAAAGGCTTGTTTCCTATATAAAACGTCGAAAATCGTTTATCCACGATCTATTTTCACGATCTCTGGCACGTGAATAACGGGCTTACAAGGGGTTACAGGGGGTTACAGGGGGTTACAGTGGGTTACAGGGGGTTACAAGGGCTTAGGAGGGGCTACAGGGGGTTACAGGGGGTTACAAGGGGTTACAAGGGGTTACAGGGGGTTGCAAGGGGTTACAAGGGGTGACAGGGGGTGACAAGGGTTTACAGGGGGTTACAAATAATTATAGAAACTTTTTTCTAACTACAACGTTCCCAGATACTTTTTCTTAGTCCTTTTTGCATCAAAATCAAAGGTGAAGAAATCTCAAATTTTTCATAAAAACGATGGACTAACCCAGTTGGAAAAATTCCAGTTTTGCGTTTTTCGTACACAGTTGTTTTTATAGTCTTTAAAGGCTTCTTTTTTATCTAGAACGTCAGCAAAAACTTTTTCCCATCCATTTTTGATAAATACAAAACATGAAAAAACTTCAACTTTTTGAGCAAAATCCTGGACTATCCCCGTTGCAAAAATGCAAATTTTGCCTTCTTTTTAAGTCCATGTTTATATTGTCTAGAAAGGTTTGTTTTCTAACGAGAACGTCACCAAATACTTTTTTTGGGTGTATTTTGCATAAAACGAAACGGTCACAAAATTTCCAATTTTTGACCAAAACCATGGACTAACCCCTTCTCAAAAATGCCAAATTTTTGCATTTTTGAAACCGATGTTTTTGTTGTTCAGAAAGGCTTGTTTCCTATATAAAACGTCGAAAATCGTTTATCCACGATCTATTTTCACGATCTTTGGCACGGGAATAACGAGCTTACAAGGGGTTACATGGGGTGACAGGGGGTTACAGGGGGTTACAGGGGGTTACAAAGCCTTAGGAGGGGCTACAGGGGGTTACAGGGGGTTACAAGGGGTTACAGGGGGTTGCAAGGGGTTAAAAGGGGTGACAGGGGATGACAAGGGGTTACAGGGGGTTACAAATAATTATAGAAACTTTTCTCTAACTACAACGTTCCCAGATACTTTTTCTTAGTCCTTTTTGCATCAAAATCAAAGGTGAAGAAATCTCAAATTTTTCATAAAAACGATCGACTAACCCCTTTGGAAAAATTCCAATTTTGCGTTTTTCGTACACAGTTGTTTTTATAGTCTTTAAAGGCTTCTTTTTTATCTAGAACGTCAGCAAAAACTTTTTCCATCCATTTTTGATAAATACAAAACATGAAAAAACTTCAACTTTTTGAGCAAAATCCTGGACTATCCCCGTTGCAAAAATGCAAATTTTGTCTTCTTTTTAAGTCCATGTTTATATTCTCTAGAAAAGCTTGTTTTCTAACGAGAACGTCACCAAATACTTTTTTTGGGTGTATTTTGCATAAAACGAAACGGTCACAAAATTTCCAATTTTTGACCAAAACCATGGACTAACCCCTTCTCAAAAATGCCAAATTTTTGCATTTTTGAAACCGATGTTTTTGTTGTTCAGAAAGGCTTGTTTCCTATATAAAACGTCGAAAATCGTTTATCCACGATTTATTTTCACGATCTTTGGCACGGGAATAACGGGCTTACAAGGGGTTACAGGGGGTTACAGGGGGTTACAGTGGGTTACAGGGGGTTACAAGGGCTTAGGAGGGGCTACAGGGGTTACAGGGGTTACAAGGGGTTACAAGGGGTTACAGGGGTTGCAAGGGGTTACATGGGGTGACAGGGGTGACAAGGGCTTACAGGAGGTTACAAATAATTATAGAAACTTTTTCTAACTACAACGTTCCCAGATACTTTTTCTTAGTCCTTTTTGCTTCAAAATCAAAGGTGAAGAAATCTCAAATTTTTCATAAAAACGATCGACTAACCCCTTTGGAAAAATTCCAATTTTGTGTTTTTCGTACAAATTTGTTTTTATAGTCTTTAAAGGCTTCTTTTTTATCTAGAAAATCAGCAAACAATTTTTCTCGATCCATTTTTGATAAACACAAAAGATAAAAAAACTTCAACTTTCTGACCAAAATCATGGACTATCCCCTTTGCAAAAATGCCAATTTTGCCTTCTTTTTAAATTCATCTTTATATTGTCTGGAAAGGCGTTTTCTAACGACAAAGTCACCAAATACTTTTTCTGGGTGTATTTTGCATAAACCGAAACGTTTACCAAATTTCCAATTTTTGACCAAAACCATGGACTGACCCCTTTTCAAAAATGCCATTTCTGTGCGTTTTTGAAACCGATCTTTTTGTTGATCCGAAACGCTTGTTTGCTATATAAAACGTGGAAAATCGTTTTTCCACGATTTATTTTCACGATCTTTGGCATGGGAATAACGGGGTTACAAGGGGTTACAGGAGGTTACAGGGGGTTAAAAGGGGTTACAACCTGTTACAAGAGGTTACAAGGGGTTACAAGGGATTACCGGGGGGTTTCAAGGGGTTACAAGGGGTTACAAGGAGTTACAAGGGGTTACATGGGGTTACAAGGGGTTACAAGGGGTTACAAAGGGTTAAAAGGGGTTACAGGGGGTTACAAGGGGTTACAAGGGGTTACAGGGGGTTACAAGGGGTTGAAAGGGGTTACAAGGGGTTACAAGGGGTTACAAGGGGTTAGAGGGGGGTTACAAGGGGTTACAAGGGGTTGCAAGGGGTTACAAGGGATTACAGGGGGGTTACAAGGGGTTACAAGGGGTTACAAAGGGTTACATGGGGTTTCAAGGGGTTACAAGGGTTACAAAAGGGGTTACATGGGGTTAGAAGGGGTTACAAGGGGTTACAAAAGGGGTTACAAAAGGATACAGGGGTTACATGGGGTTAAAAGGGGTGACAGGGGTGACAAGGGGGTTACAAGGGTTACATGGGGTTACAAGGGATTACAGGGGTTACAGGGGTTACAGGCGGTTACAAAAAGGGTTACAAGGGGTTACAAGGGGTTACATGGGGTTACAAGGGGTTTCAAGGGGTTACAAGGGGTTACAGGGAGTTACATGGGGTTAAAAGGGGTGAGAGGGGGTGACAAGGGGTTACAGAGGGTTACAAAGGATTATAGAAACCTTTTTCTAACTAGAACGTTCCCAGATACTTTTTGTTAGTCTATTTTGCAAAAAAATCAAAGTTGGAGAAATCTCAAATTTTTGATCAAAACGATGGACTAACCCCTCTGGAAAAATTCTAATTTTGCGTTTTTCGTACAAAGTTGTTTTTATAGTCTTTAAAGGCTTTTTTTGTATCTAGAAGGTCAGAAAACACTTTTTTCTCGATCCATTTTTGATAAACACACAACATGAAAAATCTTTAACTTTTGACCAAACCATGGACTAACCTCTTTGCAAAAATGCCAATTTTGTGGGTTTTTGAAAGCGATGTTTTTGTTGTTCAGAAAGGCTTGTTTGCTATATAAAACGTCAAGAATCGTTCTTTCACGATTTATTTTCACGATCTATGACCTGGGAATACAGGGGTTACACGGGGTTACAGGAGGTTACAGGGGGTTACAAGGGGTTACAAGGGGTTACAAGGGGTTACAGGGGGTTACAAGGGGTTACAAGGGATGACAGGGGGTGACAAGGAATTACAGGAGGTTAGAGTGGATTATAGAAACTTATTTCTAACTAGAACGTTCCCAGATACTTTTTCTTAGTCTATTTTGCATAAAAATCAGAGTTGAAGAAATCTCAAATTTTTGATAAAAACGATGGACTAACCCCTTTGGAAAAATTCCAATTTTGTGTTTTTCGTACAAAGTTGTTTTTATAGTCTTTAAAGGCTTCTTTTTTATCCAGAACGTCAGCAAAAACTTTTTCTCGATCTATTTTTGATAAACACAAAAGATGAAAAAACTTCCAACTTTTTGACCAAAATCATGGACTATCCCCTTTGCAAAAATGCCAATTTTGCCTTCTTTTTAAGTCCATGTTTATATTGTCTAGAAAGGTTTGTTTTCTAACGAGAACGTCACCAAATACTTTTTTTGGGTGTATTTTGCAGAAAACGAAACGGTCACAAAATTTCCAATTTTTGACCAAAACCATGGACTAACCCCTTCTCAAAAATGCCAAATTTTTGCATTTTTGAAACCGATGTTTTTGTTGTTCAGAAAGGCTTGTTTCCTATATAAAACATCGAAAATCGTTTATCCACGATCTATTTTCACGATCTTTGGCACGGGAATAACGGGCTTACAAGAGGTTACAGGGGGTTACAGGGGGTTACAGTGGGTTTCAGGGGGTTATAAGGGCTTAGGAGGGGCTACAGGGGGTTACAGGGGGTTACAAGGGGTTACAAGGGGTTACAGGGGGTTGCAAGGGGTTACAAGGGATGACAGGAGGTGACAAGGGTTTACAGGGGGTTACAAATAATTATAGAAACTTTTTTCTAACTACAACGTTCCCAGATACTTTTTCTTAGTCCTTTTTGCATCAAAATTAAAGGTGAAGAAATCTCAAATTTTTCATAAAAACGATGGGCTAACCCCTTTGGAAAAATTCCAATTTTGCGTTTTTCGTACACAGTTGTTTTTATAGTCTTTAAAGACTTCTTTTTTATCTAGAACGTCAGCAAAAACTTTTTCCCATCCATTTTTGATAAACACAAAACATGAAAAAACTTCATCTTTCTGACCAAAATCATGGACTATCCCCTTTGCAAAAATGCCAATATTGCCTTCCTTTTAAATCCATGTTTATATTCTCTAGGAAGGCTTGTTTTCTAACGAGAACGTCACCAAATACTTTTTCTGGGTGTATTTTGCATAAAACGAAACGTTCACGAAATTTCCAATTTTTGACCAAAAGCATGGACTTACCCCTTTGCAAAAATGCCAATTTTGTGGGTTTTTGAAAGCGATGTTTTTGTGTTCAGAAAAGCTTCTTTAGTATCTAAAACGTGGAAAAACGATTTTCCACGATTTATTATCACGATCTATGACATGGGAATAGAGTGGGTTACAACGGGCTACAAGGGGTTACAGGGGATTACAGAGGTTACAAGGGGTTACAAGGGGTTACAAGGGGTTACAGGGGGGTTACAAGTGGTTACAAGTGGTGACAGGGTGTGACAACGGGTTAAAGGGCGTTACAAAGGATTATAGAAACTTTTTTCTAACTAGAACGTTCCCAGATACTTTTTCTTAGTCTATTTTGCATAAAAATCAAAGTTGAAGAAATCTCAAAATTTTGATCAAAACGATGGACTAACCCCTTTGGAAAAATTCTAATTTTCCGTTCTTCGTACACAGTTGTTTTTATAGTCTTTTATAGCTTCTTTTTTATCTAGAACGTCAGCAAAAACTTTTTCTCGATCTATTTTTGATAAACACAAAAGATGAAAAAACTTCCAACTTTTTGACCAAAATCATGGACTATCCCCTATGCAAAAATGCCAATTTTGCCTTCTTTTTAAGTCCATGTTTATATTGTCTAGAAAGGCTTGTTTTCTAACGAGAACGTCACCAAATACTTTTTTTGCGTGTATTTTGCATAAAACGAAACGGTCACAAAATTACCAATTTTTGACCAAAACCATGGACTAACCCCTTCTCAAAAATGCCAAATTTTTGCATTTTTGAAACCGATGTTTTTGTTGTTCAGAAAGGCTTGTTTCCTATATAAAACGTCGAAAATCGTTTATCCACGATCTATTTTCACGATCTTTGGCACCGGAATAACGGGCTTACAAGGGGTTACAGGGGGTGACAGGGGGTTACAGTGGGTTACAGGGGGTTATAAGGGCTTAGGAGGGGCTACAGGGGGTTACAGGGGGTTACAAGGGGTTACAAGGGGTTACAGGGGGTTGCAAGAGGTTACAAGGGGTGACAGGGGATGACAAGGGGTTACAGGGGGTTACAAATAATTATAGAAACTTTTTTCTAACTACAACGTTCCCAGATACTTTTTCTTAGTCCTTTTTGCATCAAAATCAAAGGTGAAGAAATCTCAAATTTTTCATAAAAACGATGGACTAACCCCTTTGGAAAAATTCCAATTTTGCGTTTTTCGTACACAGTTGTTTTTATAGTCTTTAAAGACTTCTTTTTTATCTAGAACGTCAGCAAAAACTTTTTCACATCCATTTTTGATAAACACAAAACATGAAAAAACTTCAACTTTCTGACCAAAATCATGGACTATCCCCTTTGCAAAAATGCCAATTTTGCCTTCTTTTTAAATCCATGTTTATATTCTCTAGGAAGGCCTGTTTTCTAACGAAAACGTCACCAAATACTTTTTCTGGGTGTATTTTGCATAAAACGAAACGTTCACGAAATTTCCAATTTTTGACCAAAACCATGGACTAACCCCTTTGCAAAAATGCCAATTTTGTGGGTGTTTGAAAGCGATGTTTTTGTGTTCAGAAAAGCTTGTTTAGTATCTAAAACGTGGAAAATCGTTTTTCCACGATTTATTATCACGATCTATGACATGGGAATAGAGTGGGTTACAACGGGTTAAAAGGGGTTACTGGGGGTTACAGAGGTTACAAGGGGTTACAAGGGGTTAGAAGGGGTTAAAGGGGGTTAAGAGGGGTTACAAGCTGTTACAAGGGGTTACAAGGAGTAAAGGTTAGAGGGGGGTTACAAGGGGTTACCAGGGGTTAGAGGGGGGTACAAGGGGTTACAAGGGGTTACAAGGGGTTAAAAGGGTTACATGGGGTTACAAGGGGTTACAAGGGGTTACAAAGGGTTACAAGGGGTTACATGTGGTTACAAGGGGTTACAAGGGGTTACAGGGGGATACAAGGGGTTACAAGGGGTTGCAAGGGGTTACAAGGGGTTACAGGGGGGTTACAAGGGGTTACAAGGGGTTGCAACGGCTTACAAGGGGTTACAAGGGTTTACAGGGAGGTTACAAGGGGTTACAAGGGGTTCCAAAGGGTTACATGGGGTTACAAGGGGTTAAAAGGGGTTACAAGGGGTTACAAGGGGTTACATGGGGTTACAAGGGTTTACAAGGGGTTACTATTGGTTACAAGGGGTTACATGAGGTTACAAGGGGTTACAGGGGGTTAAAAGGGGTTACAAGGGGTTACAAGGGGTTACATGGGGTTACAAGGGGTTATAAGGGGTTACAAGGGGTTACAAGGGGTTACATGGGGTTACAAGGGGTTACAAGGGGTTACAAGGGGTTACATGGGGTTACAAGGGGTTCCAGGGGGTTACAGGGGGTTGCAAGGGGTTACAAGTGGTTACAAGGGGTTTCATGGGGTTAAAAGGGGTTACAAGGGGTTAAATGGGGTTACAAGGGGTTACAGGGGGTTACAAGGGGTTACAGGCGGTTACAAGGAGTTACAAGGGGTTACAAGGGTTACATGGGGTTACAAGGGGTTTCTAGGGGTTACAGGGGGGTACAAGGGGTTACAAGGGGTTACAAGGGGTTACATGGGGTTACAAGGGGTTACAAGGGGTTACAAAAGGGTTACAAAAGGGGTTACAAGGGGTTACAAGGGGTTACAAGGGGTTACAGGGGGTTACAAGGGGTTACAAGGGGTTAAAAGGGGTTAAAAGGGGTTACAGGGGGGTTAAAAGGGGTTAAAAAAAGGGTTGCAAGGGGTTACAAGGGGTTACAGGGGGGTTACAAGGGGTTACAAGGGGTTACAAGGGGTTACATGGGGTTACAAGGGGTTACAAGAAGTTACTAGGGGTTAAAAGGGGTTACATGGGGTTACAAGGGGTTACAGGGGGTTACAGGGGGTTACAGGGGGTTACAAGGGGTTACAAGGGGTTACATGGGGTTACAAGGGGTTACAAGGGGTTACAAGGGGTTACAAGGGGTTACAAGGGGTTACAAGGGGTTACATGGGGTTACAAGGGGTTACAAAGGGTTACAGGGGTTACAAGGGGTTACAAGGGGTTATAAGGGGTTACAGGGGGGTTACAAGGGGTTACAAGGGGTTGCAAGGGCTTACAAGGGGTTACAGGGGGGTTACAAGGGGTTACAAGGGGTTACAAAGGGTTAATGGGGGTTACAAGGGATTACAAGGGGTTACAAGGGGTTACAAGGGGTTACAAGGGGTTACATGGGGTTACAAGGGGTTAAAAGGGGTTACATGGGGTTACAAGGGGTGACAGGGGGTGAAAAGGGGTTACAGAGGGTTACAAACGATTATAGAAACTTTTTTCTAACTAGAACGTTCCCAGATACTTTTTCTTAATGTATTTTGCAAAAAAATCAAAGTTGGAGAAATCTGAAATTTTTTATCAAAACGATGGACTAACCTCTTTAGAAAAATTCTAATTTTGCGTTTTTCGTACATAGTTGTTTTTATAGTCTTTAAAGGCTTTCTTTGTATCTAGAACGTCAGAAACACTTTTTCTCGATCCATTTTTGATAAACACAAAAGATGAAAAATCTTTAACTTTTTGACCAAACCATGGACTAACCCCTTTGCAAAAATGCCAATTTTGTGGGTTTTTGAAAGCGATGTTTTTGTTGTTCAGAAAGGCTTGTTTGCTATATAAAACGTCGAAAATCGTTCTTTCACGATTTATTTTCACGATCTATGACCTGGGAATACAGGGGTTACACGGGGTTACAGGAGGTTACAGGGGGTTACAAGGGGTTACAAGGGGTTACAGGGGGTTACAAGGGGTTACAAGGGATGACACGGGTTGACAAGGAATTACAGGAGGTTAGAGTGGATTATAGAAACTTTTTTCTAACTAGAACGTTCCCAGATACTTTTTCTTAGTCTGATTTTGCATAAAAATCAAAGTTGAAGAAATCTCAAATTTTTGATAAAAACGATGGGCTAACCCCTTTGGAAAAATTCCAATTTTGTGTTTTTCGTACAAAGTTGTTTTTATAGTCTTTAAAGGCTTCTTTTTTATCTAGAACGTCAGCAAACACTTTTTCTCGATCCATTTTTGATAAACACAAAAGATAAAAAAACTTCAACTTTCTGACCAAAATCATGGACTATCCCCTTTGCAAAAATGCCAATTTTGCCTTCTTTTTAAATCCATGTTTATATTCTCTAAGAAGCCTTGTTTTCTAACGAGAACGTCACCAAACACTTTTTCTGGGTGTATTTTGCATAAAACGAAACGGTCACAAAATTTCCAATTTTTGACCAAAACCATGGACTAACCCCTTCTCAAAAATGCCAAATTTTTGCATTTTTGAAACCGATGTTTTTGTTGTTCAGAAAGGCTTGTTTCCTATATAAAACGTCGAAAATCGTTTATCCACGATCTATTTACGCGATCTTTGGCACGGGACTAACGGGCTTACAAGGGGTTACAGGGGGTTACAGGGGGTTACAGTGGGTTACAGGGGGTTACAAGGGCTTAGGAGGGGCTACAGGGTGTTACAGGGGGTTACAAGGGGTTACAAGGGGTTACAGGGGGTTGCAAGGGGTTACAAGGGGTGACAGGGGGTGACAAGGGGTTACAGGGGGTTACAAATAATTATAGAAACTTTTTTCTAACTACAACGTTCCCAGATATTTTTTCTTAGTCCTTTTTGCATCAAAATCAAAGGTGAAGAAATCTCAAATTTTTCATAAAAACGATGGACTAACCCGTTTGGAAAAATTCCAATTTTGCGTTTTTCGTACACAGTTGTTTTTATAGTCTTTAAAGGCTTCTTTTTTATCTAGAACGTCAGCAAAAACTTTTTCCCATCCATTTTTGATAAATACAAAACATGAAAAAACTTCAACTTTTTGAGCAAAATCCTGGAGTATCCCCTTTGCAAAAATGCAAATTTTGCCTTCTTTTTAAATCCATGTTTATATTCTCTAGGAAGGCTTGTTTTCTAACGAGAACGTCACCAAATACTTTTTTTGGGTGTATTTTGCATAAAACGAAACGTTCAAAAAATTTCCAATTTTTGACCAAAACCATGGACTAACCCCTTGTCAAAAATGCCAAATTTGTCCGTTTTTGAAACCGATTTTTTTGTTGTTTAGAAAGGCTTGTTTGCTATATAAAACGTGGAAAATCGTTTTTCCACGATTTATTTTCACCATCTTTGGCATGGGAATAACGGGCTTACAAGGGGTTACCGGGGATTACAGGGGGTTACAAGGGCTTAGAAGGGGCTACAGGGGGTTACAAGGGGTTACAAGGGGTTACAGGGGGTTACAAGGGGTTACCGGTGGTTACAAAGGATTATAGAAACCTTTTTCTAACTACAACGTTCCCAGATACTTTTTCTTAGTCCTTTTTGCATAAAAATCAAAGTTGAAGAAATCTCAAATTTTTGATAAAAACGATGGGCTAACCCCTTTGGAAAAATTCCAATTTTGTGTTTTTCGTACAAAGTTGTTTTTATAGTCTTTAAAGGCTTCTTTTTTATCTAGAACGTCAGCAAACACTTTTTCTCGATCCATTTTTGATAAACACAAAAGATAAAAAAACTTCAACTTTCTGACCAAAATCATGGACTATCCCCTTTGCGAAAATGCCAATTTTGCCTTCTTTTTAAATTCATCTTTATATTGTCTAGAAAGGCGTTTTCTAACGACAACGTCACCAAATACTTTTTTGGGTGTATTTTGCATAAAACGAAACGGTCACAAAATTTCCAATTTTTGACCAAAACCATGGACTGACCCCTTTGCAAAAATGCCATTTTTGTGCGTTTTTGAAACCGATGTTTTTGTTGATCCGAAACGCTCGTTGGCTATATAAAACGTGGAAAATCGTTTTTCCACGATTTATTTTCACGATCTTTGGCATGGGAATAACGGGGTTACAATGGGTTACAGGGGGTTACAGGGGGTTACACGGGGTTACAGGGGGTTACAAGGGGTTGCAAGGGGCTACAAGGGGTTACAGGGTGCTACAAGGGGTTAAAAGGGGTTACAAGGGGTTACAAGGGGTTACAAGGGGTTACAGGGGGTTACAAGGGGTTACAAGGGGTGACAGGGGGTGACAAGGGGTTACGGGGGTTACAATCGATTATAGAAACTTTTTTCTAACTAGAACGTTCCCAGATATTTTTTCTTAGTCCTTTTTGCATCAAAATCAAAGTTGAGGAAATCTCAAATTTTTGATCAAAACGATGGACTAACCCCTTTTGAAAAATTCTAATTTTGCGTTTTTCGTACACAGTTGTTTTTATAGTCTTTAAAGGCTTCTTTTTTATTTAGAACGTCAGCAAAGACTTTTTGTCCTCCATTTTTGATAACCACAAAACATGAAAAAACTTCAACTTTTTGAGCAAAATCCTGGACTATCTCCTTTGCAAAAATGCCAATTTTGCCTTCTTTTTAAATCCATGTTTATATTCTCTAAGAAGCCTTGTTTTCTAACGAGAACGTCACCAAATACTTTTTTTGGGTGTATTTTGCATAAAACGAAACGTTCACAAAATTTCCAATTTTTGACCAAAACCATGGACTAACGCCTTCTCAAAAATGCCAATGTTGTGCGTTTTTGAAACCAATGTTTTTGTTGTTCAGAAAGGCTTGTTTGCTATATAAAACGTGGAAAATCGTTTTTTCACGATTTATTTTCACGATCTTTGGCATGGGAATAACGGGGTTACAAGCGGTGAGAGGGAGTTACAGGGGGTTAGAGGGGGTTACAAGGGGTTAAAAGGGGCTACAAGGGGTTACAGGGGGTTACAAGGGGTTACAAGGGGTTACAAGGGGTTACAAGGGGTGACAGGGGGTGACAAGGGGTTACAGGGGGTTACAATCGATTATAGAAACTTTTTTCTAACTATAACGTTCCCAGATACTTTTTCTTAGTCTATTTTGCATAACAATCAAAGTTGAAGAAATGTCAAATTTTTGATCAAAACGATGGACTAACCCCTTTGGAAAATTCCAATTTTTGCGTTTTTCGTACACAGTTGTTTTTATAGTCTTTAAAAGCTTCTTTTTTATGTAGAACGTCAGCAAACAGTTTTTCTCGATCTGTTTTTGATCAACACAAAACATGAAAAAACTTCAACTTTTTGACTAAAATCATGGACTATCCCCTTTGCAAAAATGCCAATTTTGCCTTCTTTTTAAATCCATGTTTATATTGTCTATAAAGGCTTCTTTTCTAACGAGAACGTCACCAAATACTTTTTTTGGGTGTATTTTGCATAAAACGAAACGTTCAAAAAATTTCCAATTTTTGACCCAAACCATGGACTAACGCCTTCTCAAAAATGCCAATTTTGTGGGTTTTTGATAGCGATGTTTTTGTTGTTCAGATAGGCTCGTTTGCTATATAAAACGTGGAAAATCGTTTTTCCCTGATTTATTTTCACGATCTTTGGCATGGGAATAACGGGGTTACAAGGGGTTAAAGGGGGGTTACAGGGAGTTACAAGGGGTTACAGGGGGTGACAAGGGGTTACACGGGGTTACAAAGGATTATAGAAACTTTTTTCTAACTAGAACGTTCCCAGATACTTTTTCTTAATCCTTTTTGCATCAAAATCAAAGTCTGAGAGATCTCAAATTTTTGATCAAAACGATGGACTAACCCCTTTGGAAAAATTCTAATTTTGCGTTTTTCGTACACATTTGTTTTTATAGTGTTTAAAGGCTTCTTTTTTATGTAGAACGTCAGCAAAAACTTTTTCTCGATCCATTTTTTAAAAAAACACAACAGATGAAAAAACTTCAACTTTTTGTCCAAAATCATGGACTATCCCCTTTGCAAAAATGCCAATTTTGCCTTCTTTTTAAATCCATGTTTATATTCTCTTGAAAGGCTTTTTTCTAACGAGAACGTCACCAAATACTTTTTCTGGGTGTATTTTGCATAACACGAAACGTTCACAAAATTTCCAATTTTTGACCAAAACCATGGACTAACCCCTTTGCAAAAATGCCAATTTTGTGGGTTTTTGAAAGCGATGTTTTTGTTGTTCAGAAAGGCTTGTTTGCTATATAAAATGTCGCAAATCGTTTCTTCAGGAGTTATTTTCACGATCTAGCACATTGGAGCTCAGGGGGTTACAAGGGGTTACAGGGGCTTGCAGGGCTTACAAGGGGTTACAAGGGGTTACAAGGGGTTACAGGGGGTTACAAGGGGTTACAAGGGATGACAGGGGGTGACAAGGGGTTACAGGGGGTTACAATGGATTATAAGAACTTTTTCTAACTAGAACGTTCCCAGATACTTTTTCTTAGTCTATTTAGCATAACAATCAAAGTTGAACAAATCTCAAATTTATGATCAAAACGATGGACTAACCCCTTTGGAAAAATTCTAATTTTGCGTTTTTCGTACACAGTTGTTTTTATAGTCTTTACAGGCTTCTTTTTTATGTAGACCGTCAGCAAACACTTTTTCTCGATCCATTTTTGACAAACACAAACGATGAAAAAGCTTCAACTTTTTTACTTACATCATGGACTATCCCCGTTGCAAAAATGCCAATTTTGCCTTCTTTTTAAATCCATGTTTATATTGTCTAGAAAGGCTTCTTTTCTAACGAGAACGTCACCAAATACTTTTTCTGGGTGTATTTTACATAAAACGAAACCTTCACAAAATTTCCAATTTTTGACCAAAACCATGGACTAACTCCTTCGCAAAAATGCCATTTTTGTGCGTTTTTGAAACCGATGTTTTTGTTGTTCAGAAAGGCTTGTTTGCTATATAAAATGTCGAAAATCGTCTTTCCACGATTTATTTTCACGATCTTTGGCATGGGAATAACGGGGTTACAAGCAGTGAGAGGGAGTTACAGGGGGTTACAGGGGGTTACAAGGGGTTAAAAGGGGCTAAAAGGGGTTACAGGGGGTTACAAGGGGTTACAGGGGGTTACAAGGGGTTACAAGGGGTGACAGGGGGTGACAAGGGGTTACGGGGGTTACAATCGATTATAGAAACTTTTTTCTAACTAGAACGTTCCCAGATACTTTTTCTTAGTCTATTTTTCATAACAATCAAAGTTGAAGAAATCTCAAAATTTTGATCAAAACGATGGACTAACCCCTTTGGAAAATTCCAATTTTTGCGTTTTTCGTACACAGTTGTTTTTATAGTCTTTAAAAGCTTCTTTTTTATCTAGAACGTCAGCAAACAGTTTCTCTAGATCTGTTTTTGATCAACACAAAACATGAAAAAACTTCAACTTTTTGACCAAAATCATGGACTATCCCTTTTGCAAAAATACCAATTTTGCCTTCTTTTTAAATCCATGTTTATATTCTCTAGGAAGGATTGTTTTCTAACGAGAACGTCACCAAATACTTTTTTTGGGTGTATTTTGCATAAAACGAAACGTTCACAAAATTTCCAATTTTTGACCAAAACCATGGACTAACGCCTTCTCAAAAATGCCAATTTTGTGCGTTTTTGAAACCAATGTTTTTGTTGTTCAGAAAGGCTTGTTTGCTATATAAAACGTGGAAAATCGTTTTTTCACGATTTATTTTCACGATCTTTGGCATGGGAATAACGCGGTTACAAGCGGTGAGAGGGAGTTACAGGGGGTTAGAAGGGGTTACAAGGGGTTAAAAGGGGCTACAAGGGGTTACAGGGGGTTACAAGGGGTTACAAGTGGTTACAAGGGGTTACAAGAGGTTACAAGGGGTTACAAGGGGTGACAGGGGGTGACAAGGGGTTACAGGGGGTTACAATCGATTATAGAAACTTTTTTCTAACTAGAACGTTCCCAGATACTTTTTCTTAGTCTATTTTGCATAACAATCAAAGTTGAAGAAATGTCAAAATTTTGATCAAAACGATGGACTAACCCCTTTGGAAAATTCCAATTTTTGCGTTTTTCGTACACAGTTGTTTTTATAGTCTTTAAAAGCTTCTTTTTTATCTAGAACGTCAGCAAACAGTTTTTCTCGATCTGTTTTTGATCAACACAAAAGATGAAAAAACTTCAACTTTTTGACTAAAATCATGGACTATCCCCTTTGCAAAAATGCCAATTTTGCCTTCTTTTTAAATCCATGTTTATATTGTCTAGAAAGGCTTCTTTTCTAACGAGAACGTCACCAAATACTTTTTTTGGGTGTATTTTGCATAAAACGAAACGTTCAAAAAAATTTCCAATTTTTGACCAAAACCATGGACTAACGCCTTCTCAAAAATGCCAATTTTGTGCGTTTTTTAAAGCGATGTTTTTGTTGTTCAGATAGGCTCGTTTGCTATATAAAACGTGGAAAATCGTTTTTCCACGATTTATTTTCACGATCTTTGGCATGGGAATAACGGGGTTACAAGGGGTTAAAGGGGGGTTACAGGGAGTTACAAGGGGTTACAAGGGGTTACAAGGGGTTACAGGGGGTTACAGGGGGTTACAAGGGGCTACAAGGGGTTACAGGGGGTTACAGGTTGGTACAAGGGGTTACAAGGGGTTACAAGGGGTTACAAGGGGTGACAGGGGGTGACAAGGGGTTACAGGGGGTTACAAAGGGTTATAGAAACTTTTCTCTAACTAGAACGTTCCCAGATACTTTTTCTTAGTCCTTTTTGCATCAAAATCAAAGTTAAAGAAATTTCAAATTTTTGCTCAAAACGATAGACTAATCCCTTTGGAAAAATTCCAATTTTGCGTTTTTCGTACACAGTTGTTTTTATAGTCTTTAAAGGCTTCTTTTTTATCTAGAACGTCAGCAAAAACTTTTTCTCATCCATTTTTGATAAACACAAAAGATGAAAAAACTTCATCTTTTTGACCAAAATCATGGACTATCCCCTTTGCAAAAATGCCAATTTTGCCTTCTTTTTAAATCCATGTTTATATTCTCTAGGAAGGCTTGTTTTCTAACGAGAACGTCACCAAATACTTTTTCTGGGTGTATTTTGCTTAAAACGAAACGTTCGCGAAATTTCCAATTTTTGACCAAAACCATGGACTAACCCCTTTGCAAAAATGCAAAGTGGCTTTTTGAAAGCGATGTTTTTGTGTTCAGAAAAGCTTGTTTAGTATCTAAAACGTGGAAAATCGTTTTTCCCCGATTTATTTTCACGATCTATGACGTGGGAATAGAGTGGGTTACAACGGGTTACAAGGGGTTACAGGGGGTTACAGAGGTTACAAGGGGTAACAAGGGGTTACAGGTTGGTTACAAGGGGTTACAAGTGGTCACAGGGGAGGACAACGGGTTAAAGGGGGTTACAAAGGATTATAAAAACTTTTTTCTAACTAGAACGTTCCCAGATACTTTTTCTTAGTCTATTTTGCATCAAAATGAAAGTTGAAGAAATCTCAAATTTCTGATCAAAACGATGGACTAACCCCTTTGGAAAAATTCTAATTTTGCGTTTTTCGTACACAGTTGTTTTTATAGTCTTTAAAGGCTTTTTTTGTATCTAAAACGTCAGAAAACACTTTTTCTCGATCCATTTTTGATAAACACAAAAGATGAAAAATCTTTAACTTTTTGACCAAACCATAGACTAACCCCTTTGCAAAAATGCCAATTTTGTGGGTTTTTGAAAGCCTTGTTTTTGTGGTTCAGAAAGGCTTGTTTGCTATATAAAACGTCGAAAATCGTTCCTTCACGATTTATTTTCACGATCTATGACATGGGAATACAGGGGGTTTCAAGGGGTTACAGGAGGTTACAGGGGGTTACAAGGGGTTACAAGGGGTTACAAGGGGTGACAGGGGGTTACAAGGGGTTACAAGGGATGACAGGGGGTGACAAAGGATTACAGGAGGTTAGAATGGATTATAGAAACTTTTTTCTAACTAGAACGTTCCCAGATACTTTTTCTTAGTCTATTGGCTTGTTTGCTATATAAAACGTCGAAAATCGTTTTTCCACGATTTATTTTCACGATCTTTGGCATGGGAATAACGGGGTTACAAGGGGTTACAGGGGGTTACAGGGGGTTACAGGGGGTTACAAGGGGTTAGAAGGCGCTACAGGGGGTTACAGTGGGTTCCAAGGGGTTACAAGGGATTACAGGGGTTTACAAGGGGTTATAAGGGGTGACAGGGGGTGACAAGGGGTTACAGAGGGTTACAAAGGATTATAGCAACTTTTTTTTAACTAGAACGTTCCCAGATACTTTCTGTTAGTCCTTTTTGCATAAAAATCAAATTTGAAGAAATCTCAAATTTTTGATCAAAACGATGGACTAACCCCTTTGGAAAAATTCCAATTTTGTGTTTTTCGTGCACAGTTGTTTTTATAGTCTTTAAAGGCTTCTTTTTTATCTAGAACGTCAGCAAACACTTTTTCTAGATTCATTTTTGATAAACACAAAAGTTAAAAAAAACTTCAACTTTCTGACCAAAATCTTGGACTATGCCCTTTGCAAAAATGCCAATTTTGCTTTCTTCTTAAATTCATGTTTATATTGTCTAAAAAGGCCTGTTTTCTAACGACAACGTCACCAAATACTTTTTTTGGGTGTATTTTGCATAAAACGAAACGTTCACAAAATTTCAAATTTTTTACCAAAACCATGGACTAACCCTTTTGCAAAAATGCTAATTTTGTGGGTTTTTGAAAGCGATGTTTTTGTTGTTCAGAAAGGTTTGTTTGCTATATAAAACGTCGAAAATCGTTTTTTCACGGTTTTTTTTTGACGATCTATGACATGGGAATAACGGGGTTACAAGGGGTTACAAGGGGTTACAGGGAGTTACAAGGGGGTACAAGGGGTTACAGGAGGTTAGAAGGGGTTACAAGGGATCACAGGGGGCGAGAAGGGGTTACAGGGGATTACAAAGGATTATAAGAACTTTTTTCTAACTAGAACGTTCCCAGATACTTTTTCTTAGTCTATTTTGCATAAAAGTCAAAGTTGGAGAGATCTCAAATTTTTGATCAAAACGATGGACTAACCCCTTTGGAAAAATTCCAATTTTGCGTTTTTCGAACACAGTTGTTTTTATAGTGTTTAAAGGCTTCTTTTTTATGTAGAACGTCAGCAAAAACTTTTTCTCGATCCATTTTTGATAAACACAAAAGAGGAAAAAACTTCAACTTTTTGTCCAAAATCATGGACTATCTATCCCCTTTGCAAAAATGCCAATTTTGCCTTCTTTTTAAATCCATGTTTATATTCTCTAGAAAGGCTTGTTTTCGAACGAGAACGTCACCAAATACTTTTTCTGGGTGTATTTTGCATAAAACGAAACGTTCACAAAATTTCCAATTTTTGACCAAAACCATGGACTAACCCTTTTGCAAAAATGCCAATTTTGTTCGTTTTTGAAACCGATGTTTTTGATGTTCAGCAAGGCTTGTTTGGTTTATAAAATCTGCGAAATAGTTTTTAAACGATTCATTTTCTCGATCTATGACATGGAAATACAGGGGGTTACAAGGGGTTACAGGGGGTTACGGGGGATTACAAGGGGTTACAAGGGGTTACAAGGGGTTACAGGGGGTTACAAGGGGTTACAAGGGGTTACAGAAGGTTACAAGGGGTTACAAGGGATGACAGGGGGTGACAAGGGGTTACAGGGGGTTACAAAGGATTATAAGAACTTTTTTCTAACTAGAACGTTCCCAGATACTTTTCCTTAGTCTATTTTGCATAAAAATCCAAGTTGAAGAAATCTCAAATTTTTGATCAAAACGATGGACTAACCCCTTTGGAAATATTCTGATTTTGCGTTTTTCGTACACAGTTGTTTTTATAGTCTTTAAACGCTTGTTTTTTATTTAGAACATCAGCCAACACTTTTTCTCGATCCATTTTTGATAAACGCAAAAGATGAAAAAACTTCAACTTTTTGACCAAAATCATGGAGTAACCCCTTTGCAAAAATGCCAATTTTGTGGGTTTTTGAAAGCGATGTTTTTGTTGCTCAGAAAGGCTTGTTTGCTATATAAAACGTCGAAAATCGTTTCTTCACGATTTGGTTTCACGATCTATGACATGGGAATAAGGGGGTTTCAAGGGGTTACAGATGGTTACAGGGGGTTACAGCGGGTTACAAGGGGTTACTAGGGGTTACAAGAAATGACAGGGGGTGACAGTGGGTTACAGGGGGTTGCAATGGATTATAGAAACTTTTTTCTAACTAGAACGTTCCCAGATACTTTTTGTTAGTCTATTTTGCATAAAAATCCAAGTTGAAGAAATCTCAAATTTTGGTGAAAACGATGGACTAACCTCTTTGGAAAAATTCTGATTTTGCGTTTTTCGTACACACTTGTTTTTATAGACTTTAAAGGCTTCTTTTTTATCTAGAACGTCAGCAAACACTTTTTCTCGATGCATTTTTGATAAACACAAAAGATGAAAAAACTTCAACTTTTTGACCAAAATCATGGAGTATCCCCTTTCCAAAAATGCCAATTTTGTGGGTTTTTGAAAACGATGTTTTTGTTGTTCAGAAAGGTTTGTTTGCTATATCAAACGTCGAAAATCGTTTTTTCACAATTTATTTTCACGATCTATCACATGCGTATACAGGGTGTTACAAGGGGTTACAGGGGGTTACAAGGGGTTACGATGGGTTACAGGGGGTTACAAGGGGTAACAAGGGGTGACAGGGGGTGACAAGGGGTTACAGGGGGTTACAATGGATTATAGAAACTTTTTTCTAACTAGAATGTTCCCAGATACTTTTTCTTAGTTTATTTTGCAAAAAAATCAAAGTTGGAGAAATCTCAAATTATTGATCAAAACGATGGACAAACCCGTTTGGAAAAATTCCAATTTTGCGTTTTTCGTACACAGTTGTTTTTATAGTCTTTAAAGGCTTCTTTTTTATCTAGAACGTCAGCAAAAACTTTTTCTGATCCATTTTTGATAAGCACAAAAGATGAAAAAACTTCAACTTTTTGACCAAATTCATGGACTATCCCCTTTGCAAAAATGCCAATTTTGCCTTCTCTTTAAATCCATATTTATATTCTCTAGGAAGGCTTGTTTTCTAACGACAACGTCACCAAATACTTTTTCTGGGTGTATTTTGCATAAAACGAAACCTTCACAAAATTTGCAATTTTTGACCCAAACCATGGACTAACCCGTTTGCAAAAATGCCAATTTTGTGGGTTTTTGAAAGCGATGTTTGTGCTGTTCAGAAAGGCTTGTTTCCTAGATAAAGCGCCAAAAATTCTTTTTTCCACCATTTATTTTCACGATCTATGACATGGGAATACAGGGGGTTAAAAGGGGTTACAGGGGGTTACAAGGGTTTGCAAGCGGTTACAAGGGGTTACAAGGGGTGACAGGGGGTGACAAGGGGTTACAGGGGGTTACAAAGGATTATAGAAACTTTTTTCTAACTAGAACGTTCCCAGATACTTTTTCTTAGTCTATTTTGCATCAAAAGCAAAGTTGAAGAAATATCAAATTTTTGATCAAAACGATGCACTAACCCCTTTGGAAAAATTCTAATTTTGCGTTTTTCGTACACAGTTGTTTTTATAGTTTTTAAAGGCTTCTTTTTTATCTAGAAAGTCAGCAAACACTTTTTCTCGATCCATTTTTGATAAACACAAAACATGAAAAAACTGCAACTTTTTGACCAAAATCAAGAACTATCCCCTTTGCAAAAATGCCAATTTTGCCTTCTTTTTAAATCCATGTTTATATTCTCTAGAAAGGCTTGTTCTCTAACGAAAACGTCACCAAATACTTTTTTTGGGTGTATTTTGCATAAAACGAAACGTTCACAAGATTTCCAATTTTTGACCAAAACCATGGACTAACCCGTTTGCAAAAATGCCAATTTTGTGGGTTTTTGAAAGCGATGTTTGTGTTGTTCAGAAAGGCTTGTTTGCTATATAAAGCGCCAAAAATTCTTTTTTCCACCATTTATTTTCACGATCTATGGCATGGGAATACAGGGGGTTACAAGGGGTTACAGGGGGTTACAAGGGTTTGCAAGCGGTTACAAGGGGTTACAAGGGGTGACAGGGGGTGACAAGGGGTTACAGGGGGTTACAAAGGATTATAGAAATTTTTTTCTAACTAGGAGATACCCAGATACTTTTTCTCAGTCTATTTTGCATAAAAATCAGAGTTGAAGAAATCTCAAATTTTTGATCAAAACGATGGACTAACCCCTTTGGAAAAATTCTAATTTTGCGTTTTTCGAACAGAGTTGTTTTTATAGTCTTTAAAGGCTTCTTTTTTATCTAGAACGTCACCAAACACTTTTTCTCGATCTATATTTGATAAACACAAAAGATAAAAAAAACTTCCACTTTTTGACCTAAATCATGGACTATCCCCTTTGCAAAAATGCCAATTTTTGGCGTTTTTGAAACCGATGTTTTTGTTGGTTCAGTAGGGCTTGTTTCCTATATAAAACGTCGAAAATCGTTTTTTCACAATTTATTTTAACGATCTATGACATGGGAATACAGAGGGTTACAAGGGGCTACCGGGGGTTAAAGGGGGTTGCAAGGGGTTACAATGGGTTACAGGGGTTTACAAGGGGTTACAAGGGGTTACAGGGGGTTACAAGGGGTTACAAGGGGCGACATGGGGTGACAAGGGGTTACAGGGGGTTACAATGGATTATAGAAACTTTTTTCTAACTAGAACGTTCCCAGATACTTTTTCTTAGTCTATTTTGCTAAAAAATCAAAGTTGGAGAAATCTCAAATTTTTTATCAAAACGATGGACTAACCCCTTTGGAAAAATTCTAATTTTGCGTTTTTCGTACACAGTTGTTTTTATAGAACGTCAGCAAACACTTTTTCTCGATCCATTATTGATAAACAAAAAAGATGAAAAATCTTCAACTTTTTGACCAAAATCATGGACTATCCCCTTTGCAAAAATGCCAATTTTGCCTTCTTTTTAAATCCATGTTTATATTGTCTAGAAAGGCTTGTTTTCTAACGAGAACGTCACCAAATACTTTTTCTGGGTGTATTTTGCATAAAAGGAAACGTTCACAAAATTTCCTATTTTTGACCAAAACCATGGACTAACCCCTTTGCAAAAATGCCGATTTTTTTGCGTTTTTCAAACCGATATTTTTGTTCATCAGAAAGGCTTGTTTGCTATATAAAACGTCGAAAATCGTTTTTTCACGATTTATTTTCACGATCTATGACATGGGAATAAAGGGGGTCACAAGGGGTTACAGGGGGTTACAAGGGGTTACAAGGGGTTACAAGGGGTTACAGGGGGTGACAAGGGGTCACAGGGGGTTACAAAGGATTATAGAAACTTTTTTCTAACTAGAACGTTCCCAGATACTTTTTCTTATTCTATTTTGGATAAAAATCAAAGTTGAAGAAATCTCAAACTTTTTATCAAAACGATGGACTTACCCCTTTGGAAAAATTCTAATTTTGCGTTTTTCGTACACAGTTGTTTTGAAAGTCTTTAAAGGCTTCTTTTTTATCTAGAACGTCAGCAAACACTTTTTCTCGATCTCTTTTTGATAAAAACAAAAGATGAAAAAACTTCATTTTTTTGACCAAAATCATGGACTATCCCCTTTGCAAAAATGCCAATTTTGCCTTCTTTTTAAATCCATGTGGATAAAACGAAACGAACACAAAATTTCCAATTTTTGACCAAAAACATGGACTAACCCCTTTGCAAAAATGCCAATTTTGTGGGTTGTTCAAACGGATGTTTTTGTTGTTCCGAAAGGCTTGTGTGCTATATAAAACGTCAAAAATCGTTTTTTCACGATTTATTTTCACGATCTATGACATGGGAATACAGGGGGTTACAAGGGGTTACGGAGGTTTACATGGGGTTACAAGGGGTTACAAAAGGTTACAAGGGGTTAATGGGGGTTACAAGGGATGACAGGGGGTGACAAGGGGTTACAGGGGTTACAAAGGATTATAGAAACTTTTTTTCTAACTAGAGCCTTCCCAGATACTTTTTCTTAGTTTTTTTTGCATAAAAATCAAAGTTGAAGAAATCTTAAATTTTTGATCAAAACGATGGACTATCTCCTTTGGAAAAATTCCTATTTTGCGTTTTTCGTACACAGTTGTTTTTATAGTCTTTAAAGGTTTCTTTTTTATCTAGAACGTCAACAAACAGTTTTTCTCGATCTATTTTTGATAAACACAAAACATGAAAAAACTTCAACTTTTTGACCAAAATCATGGACTATCCGATCCCCTTTGCAAAAATGCCAATTTTGCCTTCTTTTTAAATCCATGTTTATATTGTCTAGAAAGGCTTGTCTTCTAACGAGAACGTCACCAATTACTTTTTCTGGGTGTATTTTGCATAAAACGAAACGAACAGAAAATTTCAAATTTTTGACCAAAACCATGTACCAAATGCCAATTTTGTGCGTTTTTGAAACCGATGTTTTTGTTGTTCAGAAAGGCTTGTTTGCTATATAAAACGTCGAAAATCGGTTTTTCACGAGCTATTTTCACGATCTATGACATGGCTATACGGGGGGTTACAAGGGATTACAGGGGGTTACAAGGGGTTACAAGGGATTACAAGGGGTTACAAGGGGTTACAAGGGGTTACAGGGGCTTACAAGGGATGACAAGGGGTTACAGGGGGTTACAAAGGATTATAGAAACTTTTTTCTAACTAGAACGTTCCCAGATGCATTTTCTTAGTCTATTTTGCATAAAAATCAAAGTTGAAGAAATGTCAAATTTTTGATCAAAACGATGGAAAAATTCTAGTTTTGCGTTTTTCGCGCACAGTTCTTTTTATAGTCTTTAAAGGCTTCTTTTTTATCTAGAACGTCAGCAAACACTTCTTTTCGATGTATTTTTGGTAAACACAAAAGATGAAAAAACTTCCAACTTTTTGACCAAAATCATGGACTATCCCCTTTGCAAAAATGCCAATTTTGCCTTCTTTTTAAATCCATGTTTATATTGTCTAGAAAGGCTTGTTTTCTAACGAGAACGTCACCAAATACTTTTTCTGGGTGTATTTTGCATAAAACGAAACGAACACAAAATTTCCAATTTTTGACCAAGACCATGGACTAACCCCTTTGCAAAAATGCCAATTTTGTGGGTTTTTGAAAGCGATGTTTTTGTTATTCAGAAAGGCTTGTTTGCTATATAAAACGTCGAAAATCGTTTTTTCACGATTTATTTTCACGATCTCTGACATTTGAATACAGGGGCTTACAGGGGGTTACAGGGGGTTATAGTTTCAGGGGGTTACAAGGGGTTACTAGGGGTTACAAGGGGTTACATGGGGTTACAAGGGGTTACAAGGGGTTACAAGGGGTTACAAGGGGTGACAGGGGTTGACAAGGGGTTACATGGGGTTACAA